GACCTCAAGAAACTTGCAGGTTTCCTCGAGGTGTCCCCCGAGCAGCTCCGCTCCTGGTTGCTCGTTAACAAGCAGCGCAGCCGCCAGATCCGCTGGGTCGACGGTGGCCTCTTGGATGGCGAGCCTGCTATCGCCAACGATCTCGACTACGCTCTTGAGGATGACCTGATCCACGTCAGCGAGACTAAGGCCGGCCGCCGTCTGGTCGACTGGTACCTGCGTAACCTCGCTCGCGTCTACTAAACGGGCCTGTGTCTCATAAGTATGCCGAGAGTTGAAAAGAAAAAAAGCGAAGAGTGGTGGGAACCTTCTGCTTACAAGAAGAGGAACGGACATGACTTGAGATGAATTTTCTTTCTTTTTCTCTGCCTACTTTGTTTGTTATTTTCCATATTATACTCATTGCTCCCCCCTTTCCCCCTCACGTTTCTTGTTTCTGTGTCTTGTTTTCCTTTTTTTATTTTTCGAGTGTTCCCCGTCCATGGATCATGGAAGTTCAAGGCTTCCTGGTCCGTTCAAAATCAAGTTCAAGTTGGATTATCGCGATTTATTTGGTGGGCGTCCGCTATTTCATGTGTCCCCTGGTCTGCTGTCGCTGCTTCTTTGAAGGCAGATGGTTAATGCAGCATGGAGAGTATTTGTGTCAGGTAGAAGAAAATCAGTTACTTGATGAAAGCATTAGATCAACGAGAAATACTCTACATATTTCAATTCTTCAATGGGCTCTGTGTTTAAAATAAAATCTGGAAAAAAATCTGGAATTGCTCCGAGATCGGGAATTTTTGCTATTAGACGTGGATAAAAGAAACCCTAGAAACCTCATATTCAAAGGGTGAACATATTTTTTAATTACTAGGTGCAGGCCGCATGAGAAACGTTTTCCATCTACATGTACAAGTACATCCCTCTCTAAGCTGAATTATAACAATAGTAGCTCGCCCGTGGCAGCTCCACCAGCCAGTTGCGGCTGATACACCTGCTGCTGATTTTGGGTCACAACGTACTGTGTCTGAGGCGCACCTCCGCCGCCAGTACCATCAAGGTCCAGCGAAGCCATTTGCTGGGAGCCGATACCACTGAAGTAAGCGTCTGCTGCATCTGCTGCCTCGTTCATGTTGCTGGGGCCTGTAGTTGCGGAGTTGACACCCGGGCCGACGGGAAAAGAAGGCGAAGGCCCATTGTAGAGTGGCGTGACGGGCTCACCTGTGGTGATGATTGTGGCTAGACCGCTATTACTGGTTGAGGTGGAGGCCATGCTTGCGGAGGGAGGGTTGTATTCAAGCATGTTGCCTGTGCCGTCGTCAATGGGAGCACGTTGCAGGGCAGGGCTGGGCAGGAGGCGCCGAGGACGGGCAGCGCGAAAGACTTGGTGGATGGGCTTGAGGTAAACAGTGGCTAGAGTGCCGACATTTAGACACAGTTCTTCGAGAGTGCGCGGGTCTAGCTTTTCGCTCTCTGCCGTGATTGGGGGTTTCTGGCCCATGACTACCTGCTTGGCGGTTGCTGGGTCCGTCGACAGCAAGCGCCAGTACATATAACCACGGTCACGAAGATCAGGGTCATCTGTTTCTTCGGTGCACCATTTCAGAACCTGTGGTACGAGCTGCTGGCCCTTGGTGGGGCGTTGGATGAACAGTTTGACGGTAGCCGTGAGCAGGGCCAGCTGCACTTCGACCGTTTCGTCGTGGAATGTGGCCAGGTAATCCTGAAGGAGGCCATCTGAGTTATCGATACGGTCCGCATACTGGCCAATGATCCAAATGACGGCTGCCTTGGCTTCGGGCTCGTCCAGATCGTCGATGTTTCGGATGACATGGCTGATTATACTTTCGTACTGGTTGGGATATTTGCGGAAAATGTTGCGAATCACCACAGTTGCCTCTTGGACAATGTATGGGATCTTGGCATCGACCAGCTCCAAGAGCGTGTCAATACACTGCTTTGCAGCTGATTCAATCTTGATCGCCAATTTGCCAATGGCCCGGACGGCCTTGCGCACAAAGTGAACGTCAATTTCGGTGGCATATCTGCGAAGGATGTCAGTACAGGTTTGATAATGCCAATCTATTTGGGAGTTCTTACTCTCGGAGCTCTGCCAATACGACGGCGATGTTATCTTTTGTGGTTAGCATGAACATTAATTCCAGCTTGGTGACTTTGACATAGATTGGGTCGTTGTAATTGCAGAAGAACACTCGGATGTCATTCCGCAAGACCTCCGGTCTCTTCTGAATAATTAAGATAGCATTGCGCAGTGCCAGATATTGAACCTCAGGAGGCTTGGAAAGCAATGTGACGAGAGGTGGAGATAACTTCTTGCATAATGAGGTGATATGTTTTTCACCCGCAATGTAGTTCATGAGATAAAGGATGACACGGGTCGAGGTCAGGACGACGGCGGAATTTGAATGTGATAGACGCGGAGCAACTCGCTCTGCCAACAGAAGCGCCTCAGCGGAATCCTGTGGCACATATGACATTAATGCCTCGAGGATGTAAGTTTGACCCCATCTGTTTGAACGGTTAGTACAATGTGCCTAGGTATGGAACCAAAGATTCTTACTCGGAACAGTCTGCCAGAATTGAAACCAATTTCGAGGCACTGACATAGTCGATAGTGAGTGAAATCGATTCACTACGGCCCCAGATATCCACCAGTGAAGCTAAGACGCTGGAAACTACAGTCGGGTTCTCATCCTTCAACATACGGTTGAGCCTGTCGATCAGATCTGAGTTCTCAACCATCTTCTTATCATGCTCATAGAGCTTTGCGACGCAGAAAGCAGCCGTCTTGCGGACATATGGGTCATTGTCTTGCATTAGGCGCTTGGCGGGTTGGAAGGTCGCTTCGACAAATTCGCGAACATGCACATATGAGATGGTCCGCAGTGCAAGGGCACGCACAAGGGGGTTATTATCTGTCATATCCTGTAAAAAAAGTCAGACCAACTCGAATCTTCTTTCGTCGGAGCGGGCCCATACATCAACCAATATAGGCAACGCTTTCAATGCGACCTCTGGTTTCATTCTGGAGTAGTTGACCAGGAACAAGAAGCACCTAGACTCGTATTAGCAAGCAAGCTCTACTCCGAATGGCACCCCGTAAGCATTATTGAGTAGAGGGTTTGGTCATACATCTTCTTGATCTCCAAGCTCGGCAGATTCATACACCCAATAACATCCGGAAACAGCGCAACCATGTCGTTGTTGCTCATGGTCATATTGGCAACAATCTTCTTAAGCGCGATCTTTTTGGCGGAATAGTTCTTGTCCTTCTTGCCGCCGCTATTGAGCTCTTGCCGTAGCTCGGCAACCTTCCCCTGTGTATTTCGCGAGCGTGAGCCATGGAATGCAGGATAAGGAGAGATAGCAATAAACATGAGGGCGGATGTGGTAATTTGGAAAGGTGTAGGAGTAAAGCAAGTGGCTTATGCCAAATGCAAGGGAAGCAAAAGGCCCGAGTACAAAGCTCACCAAAGCGAGGGGAAGTGAATGTATGGAAGTAGAATGCGGGGAAGGGGGGTAGGGCCAGAATGCGTGGGAGAGAGATCAGGCGATTAAAGAATAGACTGGGCAAGCTAACGTACCCTGGCGAATAACTTCGCATCTCCTCCAGAACTCATGGCTGCGGTATGGACGAATAGCGATTAGGCAGTGCTAGGCGCGGTTTCTTGGAATGCGAACTTCGGCAAGCCTTCGTTTCTGGTGGATCAATCACAGACGGGATTCGCCAGATCGTCAATGATATGATGAAAGTAAAAAAAAAGCGCGAAATCGAGTCCAAAAGGTCCGGGCTGTCGGGAGTTTGAGAGAGCGAAAAGGGTGAGACCGAGAACGTATTCACTTGCGCATTCGGGAGACTCGGAAACAAAGTAAATCAGCGATTGGACATTGTCCTTTCTGAAACAATCAAAACGAATTAGAAGATTAATGAAGTTGAAAATAAAGAGAGAGAGAGAGAGAAGGAGGGAAAGGAGAATTGAAGGCGGAGTGGTCACTGCGGAGAGAACCTCCCTACCCAGCAACTTTCCTCCCCCGGTCATATGTTTCTCTAAGATCATCTTTCCCCCCCCCCCCCACACACCACATCTACCATCTTAATCATGTCACAAGCTCCTCTGCCACCTCCTCCTCCTCCGCAATGGGTTGTTTCGTTGAACTCCCCGATGCCGCGCCCCTCAAAGGCCGCATCCAGCATCCCGGACCCGCCAGGCTTCTCGAGCAGTCGGGGAGGCAAGCAGGTGAGTTCCACAAATCATAATACTACGCAAATATACTAACGCGGGCGATTTTCAGCGTCAACAACAGCAGCAACAATCTACCACGAAGAAACCTGACGAGACCGACGCGCTTAAGATGAAGAAAGCGTGGGAGATCGCCATCGCTCCGTCCAAGCAGATCCCAATGAATGCCATTATGATGTACATGTCCGGCAACAGTCTTCAGATTTTCAGCATCATGATGGTCCTCATGTTGTTCAAGGGTCCCATCCAGGGTCTGATCAATATCAATGCGGCGTTCGCCAAGTACGAAACCCCGTCGACACATTCACGTATGCTTGGAGTGAAGGTGGTCTACGTGTTGATGCAGCTGGTATTACTGGGTTTGGGTATCTGGAAGGTCAATGCGATGGGTCTATTGCCGTAAGTCTTGCTCTTTGGCTTTGACGGCGCTTATCTTGCTAACATATACCCAGAACTACGAGATCGGATTGGCTAGCATGGGAGTCGGAACGGCAGCCTTTGGAGCGGGCTCATTTTGCTTTCAGGTGATGTTGTAGGCTTGGAGAACGAGTTACATGGTGAAAAGAGACTGTTGGAAATGCGTCCGTGGACGATAATGCAATTTGGAACAACAGCTTATCATGGCAGTGATCATATTGGTCCCTTGCCTTCTTGTATTATTGAAGAGTTCTATCATAATGCATTTCTTCGGCGCAAGTTTCTAAAAGGTTATCGACAGGAAAAACGTAGTTCGTGATAGTCATCGGGCTGTCACTTCTAACTTGAAGCATTCTCGTCCCTAGTGTTCTTAGCTTCCTCTTTCAGACGACGCTCTTCACGCCACTCTGGCCCCTTTCGAATCACGATCAAAAGCAGTGGCATCGTGGCCATCATCACCAACGCGATGAATGTGAAACACCAGCCCCGGCCCATGGTAGAAAGCATAGGATCGATGAGTGCTGTTGCGCCGGCTCCCAGTAAGCAACGCCCGAAATTATTGGCAGCAGTGGCCTTGGCCGCCTGTGTTGGATATAAGTCTACCAGGAGTGTGCTGATGGTATTGAATGCCCCTGTCAAGGTCAATCCCATGAGGAACAGGATACATGTTGGCGCAGCGAGATGAATTCCATAGTTCAAGAACCACCCAAACACAAGGACAGAGATGCTTCCAAATGCGAGAAGAGGGAATGCCAGCTGAAGACGAGCTTTTTCAATAGGGAAGTTTCGCAAGTCAGTTTCGCGGTTCTTGGTTAGTGGGAAGTTCAATTGCTTTGCGAGTCGGCGATAGTTGAAGTCTAGAAATTTGCCATTGACAATGGAAGCGATGGTCGCACCGAGACCAAACGGAATATAGCAGAGACCGACCTGGAGGTCGTCTAGCCCGTAGAGCTCATTGAAGATAGAAGGGATGCTTGCGCTCACGTCATAAAATCCAGCAAAAAGAATAGCATTGCAGAAGAGGATGAGACCGGTATCCTTCTGGAATACAATGGCAAGCGTCTGGAAAGGATTGGGGAACTTGAGTTTCTGCTTGGATGCAATCGCCGTGGATATGGCGCCTTCCTCGCGAGCCTTTCGGGACTTCAAGTAGCTGATCAGGGACATATTCCATTTTTGAGGAGGCAGTGAGCCATCGCCGACAATCCCACGAGCAGTTTCCGGGAAGGAAACCAGAAACGGAACCATGAAAGCCGCTGCGAAAATGGTTAGAAACCAGAAGATCGCCCGCCAGCCCAAATATTGAGACAATAGACCTCCAATTACTGGTCCGACCGAAGGGCCCATGAGAGATCCTGCCGTGACGAACCCCATGTAGGAACCTCGTTGTGATGCAGTGGCTACATCGGAGACCACTCCCGATGAGAGGGCAATGGTGGTGCTGCTTCCTGCACTTTGCAAGCACCGGAGAACGAAAAGAGCTACATAATTGTTTTGGACGGCAAGTCCGATATTGGCTGCAATATAGATGGTGAAGCACAATATATATGCTGGTCGTCGGCCAACTTTGTCCGCAAAGTCACCAATGAACATGGGCGACAGTCCTTGAAAAATCTACAATCTTGTTAGCCAAGCCCCAAAATCAAACCTGCCTTATATAGGAAGCCTTACCATATAACTCGTCAAAGTCAGATTGATCAATGAATTCGATACATGTAGATCCTTTGCCAAGGTATTCAATGCGGGGAAGTAGATCTGAGAAGAGACAGGCGAGAAGAACCCAGCCCACGAGGCCATGAAGACAATATACCTGCGCTGACTGACCGTGAAGACTGAATAGTCAACATCAGCAAGATTCCCGCCACTCCTCACATTCACATCTTGACCGGATTCTGGTGGAACAGATAGTGTTTCCTTCTCCATCTAGGTATAAACCAAACAGGTGAGTACAATATAGAGAGGCATCGCAGAGAAACAGCTCTGACTCCCTTTTGTTTTTTCTTTCTCCGCTAGCCCGTAAGCGGGGATATCTCCAGTCTCGGAGATAACAGCTGGATGGGCGTGCCGAGAAGCCGAAGCTTTTATAAGGTTGATCCTTACTTTTTACGGATTACAGTGCCCATACGAGGTAGCATGTCCTAGCTCTAGGTATAAATGAAGATTCAAAAGAAAATATCAACAACTTGATTTCTCATGATTCAAAATATATGCAGTTTAAACAATACGATAATACACAACGGAACGGTCAACGCGCCTTGACAGCCTCTTTGCACGCCTGCAAAAAGATCTGACAGAACTCCCAAACTTCTGTGTATGTATTATACAAGGGTGCAGGGGCGACACGAACCACATCTGGTTTCCTCTCGTCAATAACAACACCATTTTCCTCCAGACAATGCAAAACATGATCTAGCAACCCTGGCTGGAGACGTAAGCTGAGCTGAGCACCTCGCTCGGCTGGGTTCGGTGGCGTGATGAGGGTGAATGGTTTATCTTCAGGGGCCGCGTCTAGAGGATACTTCATTAGAAGATGTTCCAGATATCCTGTGAGATTGAGGGATTTCTGTCGAATTTCCTGCATTGTTGTCCGGTTGAAGATTTCGAGAGATGCGACAACCGCATTGATGTCCAAAACAGAGGGATTCGACAGTTGGAATCCAGCTGCACCGGGTTGTGGCAGAAATTCTATCGTCGTCAGTCTCGCCTATCTATACATCGAAATCAAATACTCACTGTTTTCCATGTTGAAACGCGTTTTGATATCTCCACCCCACCAGCCTGAGAGTCGAGGACGGAATGTCTCGTCATTTTCGGGTTGTTTTTCATCTACAGAGCCGTGACGCTCGTGGACAAATAGTCCTCCTATTCCACCCGGTCCGCTGTTGAGGTACTTGTAATTGCACCAGGCTGCAAAATCCACATTCCAATCGTGAAGTCGCAAATCCACATTGCCAGCGGCATGAGCGCAGTCCCAGCCGATCAAAATGCCCTTAGAGTGAGCGTGAGCCGTGATCCGTTCAATATCAAAGTACTGCCCTGTGTAGAACTGAATAGCCGACAGGAGCACGAGTGCGGTGCTGGAAGCGTTGTCATCAATAACTTTGATGATTTGTTCCGTGCTCAAGGTAGGCTGATCTAGATCCTTGGGCTCGATCAAAACCATGCCGTCCTTTGGGTCGAAGTTATGATGGCGAAGCTGAGACTCAACCGCATACTAGATTGCACCCGTGTTAGTACCAGCAATAAAGTCTGCAATTGGGCTGTACACCTGAGAGACATACATGATCACTGGGAAAAGCCTTGCCCTCTAGGATAATCTTGTACTTCTCTTTGGTTGGGCGATAGAAGCTTGCCATTAGTAGGTGCAAATTGGCAGTCAAGGTGCCCATAACAGCGACTTCACTTTGGGAAGCACCCACAACTGAGGCCATCAGCTTGGAGGCTGCGGTGTCAACATCGACAAAAGGAGGTAGCAATTGATCGTCATGCGGCACAAAGTGCCCGGTCACGCCTTTCGTTGCCCAAGTTCGTAGGTACTGCTCGATATATTTCTGTGTGCTACGAGGCTGGGCTCCCAGTGAGTTACCACAGAAGTAGATGCATTTTTCGTCAGATGCTTCATTGCCTAACAGGAAGGAAGCCAAGAATTAGAACGGATGTTTGGGTGTGCAAGAGTTCCTGATACGCACTCTCGTCTCCTGTCAGAGTCTTCCGCTTGAGATCATTCTTGGATGGAATGATAAACTCATTCCGGAAATTCCGAAGTGGATCTTGAGCATCAAGAGCTTCGGCATACTCCTTCTTGTAAGCCCTGATATCATCTGTATAGGGAAGCGGGGAACCGCTTTTGATGTCCCGAACATGCAACCGGGAGCCCATGATGACAGAATCAGGCGTTGTTAAAATGCGGTAGTACGGTTCACAAATCTGAGAGCTGTACCAAATCAGAACTTCAACAGAGTCTCATACAAGGTTGATACATTTATCTGCAGTCCCCCACCATGCGGCGATCCCTTCCTGATAGGGTCATTATTCTGCCCATATTTCCCGACTTTATCTGACCAATGGTGTCACTACTAAACTGACTAACCCGATGTAATCGGAATGGGATGATTTGATATCAAGTGTTCTTCATCTCTCTACTTTCTCTTGAAGGATTTCATTCTTTCATACATCAGTCATGTCACGCCATTTATTCTCATCGGCACCCGTCCGCCGGTTATCCCAAGCACAGACGTGCCGGCTCTTCTCAACTTCCCGACCGGCTTTGCGCCTCTCCGCATTCCCCGGCAGCGAAATCGTTCCTCGCCGCCCAGGCACTGTCGCAAGTAGCGCACATCCTCTCAAACGCTCAGCACCTCAATCCCCAACCTCTCGCTATATCCGCCAGCAACATGCGTGTTTTTCTTCCTCGTCCGTCCGCCCGGCTACCAAGGTCACGCAAAACCCGAGAACCGGAGATGATGGAGAACCCCTCATGATGGCTATTTCGCCACGGGCTGTGGAGGTGAGTTGATAATAAATTTTTTTGCTATCGATTTGCCTGCTTTTGCTTCGCTCTTCTATCTGGCTTGTGTTGGGACGGGTGGGAAGCTGTCCGGGCTGTATGGCATCAAGTGTCGAGGGTCTGTCTCGGTGTCGACTTGCTTTCAGCCGAGCAGGGAACTACCCCATGGCCGCGCCATGGGTCCTTCAGATGCTCCTCCAAATACATGCGACCATAGGGTGTGGAAAACAGGGCTTCCCGTCCGCTCAGCCGTACTTAAGCCACACGCCGGTGAGTTAGTAGTTGGGTGGGTGACCACCAGCGAATCCTCACTGTTGCATGTTTTTTGTTTCTTTTTTTGCTTCCTCTTTTCTCTATGGGATTTTGCTGTTTTTGTGAATCATGAAACTAACCCAGCGCAGCGTCTCCGCGAAATCACGGACCCAACCTCTTCTCCCTCCGCCATCAAGGAAGAGAACCCATACCACCATCTTCGCATTACAGTCACCAGTGGCGGATGCCATGGTTTCCAATATATGATGTCCTTAGAAGGGGCTTCCAAAATTGACCCGGAAGAGGATACTGTGTTTGAAGGAGAAGCAGAGGCTTCAGAAGCTGCCACAGAGTCAGCCGGCCAGGCCAAGGTCGTTATGGATGAGCCCTCGCTCGAGCTGCTGCACGGGAGCACTGTGGACTATACCACCGAGTTGATCGGGAGCCAGTTCAAGATTGTGGATAACCCCCGCGCAACAAGTAACTGCGGTTGCGGGACAAGTTTCGATGTCAGTGATTGAGAAATTCGTCCCTTGGAGGGATAGGAGGGATGGTATTTACTATTTTCTTCCTTCTCTTCTATTATTTTATGTACATCATACTGCATTCTGCACACTGGAAAGATAGATAATTACATGCTATACCCCTCTTCTCTTATATTGGTCAACTATCAACATCATCGATTTCCGACAAAGAGTAACGCGATGTGTTTTAGCAGGTTGACCAAAACCTTGATAGGATGGGGAAAAAATTTGTACATGCTCCTCCAACAATGAGTACTGCTTGCAGCTTTCTGTCGAATGGTGCCTATGTAATTTTGAGCTTGGCATTCATGCATGGATGTACAAGCAGCGTTGCGTGCATACTTGAAGTGCTTGCTCAATTGATTACATATAGACCCAATATATCACTATCTGAACTAAAGTTTACATATAAAAACTGATTGAATCCTACTGGGTCCTTGGAAATTCTAACCTACCAAGTTTAGATAGCCACTTTTCTTGCTGGCAATGAAAGTCATTCAGGCCTAATACTGTTTATCTTAGAAGACTTCAAAAAAAGACATGACAAGGCCGCATAAGCTGCTTAAATCCCGCAGCTCCCCAGAGCTAGGCTTCCTAGGTACTACTTACATGTAGGCATGAAGGGAAGGCCCGGATGGGGATGTCCACAAGCTTTCACTCTTACGTGTTTGGTTTTATTTTCGTTTCATGCCATACCTCCGAGTCAAACTTGGTTGTTTTCGTGGATTTCCCGTGAATTCCAGGCCCGGCGCCTTGTAGTAAGTAAATATGATGCAATTTCGAGAGAGAGAAAAACGCCCGTGGCTATTTTTATTCAGCCACCGGGCAGAGATTGTATGCGGAAATCTTCAAAGTCGGCTTTCTAGATTTCCGAAGTCCCGAAACCCCGAAATTCTTGTATACTTGTATATATTTGCCAGATGTGGAAGGGCATATGATATTTGTCTTACTATATTGCACTTTTAACGATTTAATATGTTATTTTGGAAATATATTTGCCATTGCCATATCGGAAATTAGTGAGCCATGCCGGTGTAGAATTTGTACGTGTATACTAGACACATAACGGAGGCCCCAAGACATGGGGGATATATAACTGGCCCTGGTCTCTCCATATGTAAGAGTATTCGCTATCACCATCAACCGATTTTTCTCCTATCCACCATGTATTTCCCCTTGAATATCTTCATTCTCCATATGATTCTGGCTGGCTATGCAAACGCCCTTCCAAACTTCACTCAACCACTCGCAAATTACAAATGGCCAAGCCAGTTCGTTCGCACCAACCAAGCAAACATCCAAGTCCTGGTCCAAGGTACTGGACCTACGGTGGTGCTACTCCCCTCATACGGAAGAGATGGCGGAGACGACTACAACTATTTCACAAACCAGCTAGTATCTGCCAGGTATCTCGTACTACGTCCTCACCCCCGGGGGACCTTCGAGTCAACTAGCCCCATGATCAATGTCAGTTTAGCAGATCTAGCAGCCGACATCGCAGCCGTGATCGACAATCTGGGTGGCGGGAAAGCAGTCGTGATCGGTCATGCGTTTGGCACATTTCTTGCACAAGTGACCTCAGTGATTTACCCGGAGAAAATTCCCGCCATAGTCGTCGCAGCTCCGGGTGGCATCGATCTACCTACTGGTGTTGCTCAACTTCCCTTCGTCGCGGGTAATACCTCGCTGCCTCTTTCTAAGCGGCTTGAGGCTCTGTAGTCTGCTTTCTTTGCTCCAGGTCACGATGCCAGTGTATGGCATGAGGGGCGGTATCCTGATGTTCTTGCCATGGAGTACACTGCGGTGAAGAAATACGGTAGCTTGAAGAGATACTGGGCTAGTGGGGATAATACACAGGTTCTGGAGTCTAGCAGAGGGTCCATTCCAATTTAGTAGTCAGTGGAACGTGAGTTCCACGCGGTACCCGGAGCGAGCCACTTCTGTTGTTATTGCTGATGCTGCTCATGCGCTTTTCCCTGAGCAGCCAAGAGCTATCGTTGAAGTTGTCTTGCCATGGTTAAAACAACAGAGCTCGAAGTTGTGATTAGATGACAATGAGTGAAAAGATAAATGTTGAGTTGGGTAGTCGGCTAGTAGGTTAGAGATGAAATATATCATATTCAGTAAAGTTCACTATAGAAATTTGCTACTGGAGTTCCCTCAGCATTCCCCTAACACATCGCATCATTTCATCCTGATATATCTGCTCTTTAATGATCAATGGGTTCCCGGAATTCGAGGACTTTTCCATATAGGCTTTCTCGCTCAATACCGGGCGTCCACTTTGTAAAAAGTGAGTTGCGAGATAATACAAAGAAAGACTATTGGAGATTAAAAAGATTTCCGGGTTAAGCTCAGAATTGCAAGCGAACTGTCCCCGAGACTCCTCCCATAAAGCATGCCAGGCCCGAAGAGCTTGATGGAGAGCCGAGAGGTCAACAGGAAGTATTGACGTCTGGGCTTCAAGAAGCAAGGCATGAACAGCTAGAATAAGCAGATTCATACCAAAGGCTGTCATATTTGACAGGGACGGAGATTTTCCAAGCAATAAACTCTTGATCGAGCTCAAGAAACAGCTAGACGGGTCTTGTGCGGGTAAAGCAGCCCAGGACGAGGCAGAATATGCATCCCAGCTTGAATTGTCGCAAGGAAAAGAAGCGCGAGTTTCCGATGGCGAAAGAAGTGGTCGACTACCACAAAGAATGGATTGATAGCAGTCTATCGCATAGACACCCCAAAGAACTCGCTTTTGTGATTCTTTCTGGATCCAGGTTTTCCATGAGCTTGCCTTCCGTGTGGCTTTCGTACACTCCCCGTGGACTTTTAGAAGGCCGGCTTGACGCACAGCAGAAACAAGCAGTGGATGTAACATTCGCGACGCGGCTCGTTCAGCACTTCCTCCATTTGCCATGCTGGCGAATTGGAACAATACAAGTGCTTGTAATTCTTCAAAATTTGGCGCTACTCCGTCGGAATGAAGACATCCTTTTGCGAACAGTGACGGGAGAGATCCGTAGAAAACCCCTGCATCTGAAAATGATATAGGGTCGGCGTCAAGCCTGGCTCCGATCAGACAAATTGCACGGACAAGTACTACTGGAGCTGATGCCAGACAAAATGTGGGAACGTGGATTATGGGCAGCAAAGCTTGGAAATGTGTAAAGAATAGTCGCGAGTACATTTCAAGCCTTTCCAAAGGGATGGTAGTATCGCTTTCGAGTGTGAGTATGTATTCACTTGGCAATCGGAAAGTATCAGGATACAACATCCGTTCGGGGATGGCGGTATACGGCGCAATCAGCGGATAGCTCGCACCGGTCATGATACTGTGATCCCCAGAGACCGAGAGCATATCTGGTGTCCACATCCAGGAGGTCATGTCAACGGAATTCTCAATATCGGCTAGCTGAGTCAAAAAATCGAGCTCATCCGGGAATATATCCATGAATGATAGTTCAATGGGCTCTAAAGTTGAGACGGTATTTTGGTCCTCATTTTCCGCTGGAGACAGGGTGTGAGTAGTTGATCTAGCTCTTTTAGGGCGTTTCTTTCGTTCAGCCCGAGTGCATGTTTGTCCTTTATGTGCACATCTCACGCAAGGTTGGCCATCGCTTGGCAATTTGCACCGAAGCTTGGCTTCCGCACAAGTAATGCAACTTTTGTTCATTCTCGAGAGAGATATCTAGGAGATGGTTTGGGGTATTCGGGAGGAAAGGAATACGAGACTTCATCAATTCCCGTTTTCCCGGCGCCAACGCCTTAGTGGCGCTTTCTCACAAATTGCATTCGTTGCTCTCGGCTTATAGGGCTGATGTGAATTCCCGAATTCCCGATCTCGACTTTTCTGCGCAGAACTGACCTTGAAATTCACATATATAAGAGGGAAAGCATGTATTCAAAACAATCCAATCCATCTCTTTATAAAATTTCAACCTTGGCAGCGCTTTTTTCCAAAATACATCATGTCAGAATCCAAATCTCACATTATGCCTTCGAGTATATCGTGGTTCGATCGCCTTTGTTTTGCTCGACGACACGAGGATCCAAAATCTTATTCAGCATGGCAAAAGAATAGCATCGTTGTGATGATCACCCTCTCAGCATTCACAGCGCCATTTGCCTCCAGCATTCTTTTTCCATCCTTCACCACCCTAGTGGAATATTTCCACACAACAGAGCCTAAAGTAGCCCTGACTACAACGGTATTCCTCATCGGTCTAGCCATCGCGCCTTTATGGTGGAGTTCGTTGAGCCAGGAATATGGACGTCGACCAGTGCTGGTTTTCAGTTTCCTCATTTCGGCCATTGCCGTCATTGTCTGCGCAGTGTCAAATTCACTACCTCTGATCATTGTCTTTCGATTTATCGAGGCGGTGGGATGCTCATCGGCTCAGAGTGTTGGGGCAGGTGTCATCAGTGACATCTATATCTCAACAGAGCGTGGAACTGCCTTGGGATGGTTCTACCTTGGAACTCTGATCGGGCCTCTAGTTGCCCCGATTGTAGGAGGCGCTCTTCAAATATGGCTTGGGTGGCGATCGAACTTGTATTTTATGGCTATATTCACCTTCGCCATCGCAATACTCATCTTGTTCGCTTTGCCCGAGACCCTGGTGAAGGTATCCACCAGAGAGAATGTCGGATCATCGCTATCCTGGCTTCAAAAAGTTCAACGCGATGCTGTTTCCCCTTTGCCCAAACTCAAACTCCTCCTGATTCCATCGATCGCGCTGTCTGTGTGCTACGTCAGCATTTGCTTTGCAAGTTTGTACTGCTTCAACACTACGCTCCCATATGCATACTCTGCACCTCCATATAACTTCTCCTCCATTGAAGTTGGTCTTTGCTATATTAGCAATTGTCTGGGTTATGCAATTGGCAGCGTTGCAGGTGGACGGCTCAGCGATGCGAAGTTGCGCGAGTACCAAGCTACGCACGACGGGGAGATCAACCCGGTGGAAAGACTGAAGACCGTGTGGTATGGGGTGGGTTTTGTTCCGGTTGGCCTTCTCCTCTATGGTTGGCTGGTTGAAAAACAAATTTTCTGGTTTGCGCCCTTGGTGGGAGCGTTTCTCTTTGGATTGGGACTTATGCTTATCACTTCAACGATCATGCCCTTCCTCGTGGATGTCAAGTCTGGAGTCGGCGCTTCTGTTGTGGCCGATTTGAACTTGGTGCGGAATATCCTTGCGGCTATTGGCACTGTTGTCTCCCCTATTGCAGTGGCAAGCATCGGGTATGGGTGGTGGATGACAATTCTGGCAATCCTGTGCTCTTTTGGGGTTATCTGTATGGCTGTCGTTGTTCGGAGAGAGAGAGCCAAGAAAGAACCCTCTCCAGAAACGTTGGCGTAGGGATGTCGTCTTATCCTCCTTTATGTTTTATTAGACTTCTTTTTCGATATAGATGGGTCATACCTCCAGGGCTGGAATGAGTAGTTAGATAATATTTAATGAAGCATCATGGAATCCATGGATGGTTACATAGCCCATTTGTACAAATGGTCTAAGCATCTGAGGAGGGAGTCAGGCATTTGTCGTAGAGAGTAGACTTGTGTTAGATTTGGCTTAGTTCTCAGATATGCATTTCGATATATTTGCCCCCTCTTTCTGATGAGCCCTTGTAGTCAGAATTGGGGATCTGTGCGATGTGATGAGGGTCGTGAGCACAAGTCAGTCGTGTCCTGATTTCACTGGCTTTATACGAAGTACGGAGTAGGCAAGACAGGATTACCACGGACTCTATAGCGTTGTCAGCCCGACATACAACAGCTACTGAATGCATGATATCTTGCGTCTGAGGGAATATTTCCATCATGGCAAGCACCAAGGATTTGTGACTGCTTTCGCTTGATGGAGGTGGCATCCGTGGCCTATCAATTCTCCTGATCCTGAAGCGAGGAGTGTTCTAGGTTCTCGACCAGGAACTCGATTTTACATATAAGAGACCCTTGAAGTCATGCCAGTTCTTCGATCTCATTGCAGGGACTTCAACTGGTGGTTTAATTGCAATAACGCTTGGTGCGTTAGGCATGACAATAGACGACTGCATTAAAGAATATTTGCAGTTGGCACCTAAGGTATTCGAAGAAGGCGGAGCCAATGGCAATGGCTTGGAGTCAGTGGTTACACCAACGGGATGCCAGGCAATGCATCCCAGAATTGTTGCAGATTGCACTTTATGGATGTCACAACTGAGGTGCCTAGGAGACGGCCTCTTTCGTATAGACGAAGAAGCAGCACAGAAGCTTGCGCTTTATATCTGCTTGATGTTGAGGGGTCCGGCATGAAGGCTGATGCGTGGGAATCTCCTTACGTCGAATTCATAAGTGTATGTGTACTTGAAATACCGCTGATTTCACGAGGGTGGATGGTCGACTTTTGGTTAAGTCAGGTGAACTGCCTAGATGTTCAGAAGAATAAGGGGGGATGCTGTAATATGATTGGGACTATAAGGCTTGAACAATGAATATCAATGATTTGTGTATCAAAACTTCTGGTATCGCTAGGAAGAAAACAAAGAAATCATGAATATAGAGACTGAAATAACGGCAAATGCCTAGTCCCATGTAGAAACCAAGGTCTTAATCCTCCTCCATCTTCGCAAGTCCACCACGGCTACGCCGAATGCGTTCATCCAGGGTATCCTCCTGTACTCGCTTATTGACATCAGACATGAACCTGCCACGGTCTGAGCGCTGCCTATCGTCAGCCTCCCGCTGCTCTTCCTCCTTGGCAGATATCTCCGTGATTCGTCGGAGTCGCTCTGATTCAATTTCTGCAGCGTTGGATTGCATTTCTGCCAACTTGCGGCGGCGTTCTTCTTCCAGATCCTTGGGATCAGGCTTGTTTGTTGGGGGACGGGTCGAGGGTGGCCCCATGGCTCGACCAGAGTCATGTCGATTATTGTATTCGCGCCGGGGGAAGTCACGGCGGCGATCTTCCTCGGCGGGGGGCGTTCTTTGCGATCGATAGATGGGCGAGGAGATCGGGATTTCCGGGATAGTGAGCGCTCTCGCCGGGCACCTCTGTCGTCGCGATCTTGGTGTCGGCTGGAGTAGGAGTCTCTCTTATCGTGATAATCGCGACGGTCTCGGCCCCGGTCCCTATCATCCCGGCGAGATCGGTTCTCGTCACTCCTCCGATCACGGGTGTCTGGGCGGTGTTCGTCGTCGCGGCGTTCACGATCACGGTCACTTCGGTGTCTGCGGGAAGATCGATCGGGCGAAGTGGGTGATCTAGATCGGTGTCGTCGAGGTGAAGATCTTCGGTGGTGGCGGTCACGGCGATCATCATCGGCATCATCACTATAGCGTCTGCGCTTTGAGTCGTGGGTGCGATGGCGACGGTCACGATCCTTTCCCCGATCACGATCTCCGCGTTCCTTCTCTCTTTCCTTGCGTCTGAGCGTCTCTTTCACCATCGCCTCATAAGCCGCCTGTTCTCTCTTCTTCACTTCGAGTAGCGGGTCCGCCATAACCTTCGACATGGTGTCGCGCGCCGAGACAATAGATGGGCCGGCCGCCGCACCGTTGCCCACCACCTCCGAACCCTTCTCGAGCTTCTTTGTATCAGGGTCGTTCTTTAGAAGGACGCCATCGATGCGTCGCTTTCCCAGCAGATATCCTTCCATCTCCTCCGAGTAGTGCCCGGTCTCGGTCGAGGGTGCCTGGTACATCCAGTCGACCCGGCTGACTTGCTTTGTCTTTCCGGAGGCTTCTTGGAGGCGTTGAATCTCCTCCATCTGGCGCTCCTCCTCGCGTTCACGTCGTAGCTGCGCGATCTGTTTGCGCTCGTCGAGAGCGCGCTTCTCTTCGAGCCATACGCGCTCCTGGTTCTTGATCAAGCCTGGATGCCATGACCTGGTTGGACGATTAGTGATATGCTTCTCTGAATATGGAGGTCGGGACTCGATACTTACTTCTTCAGGTTCAGATCTCCACCCATGATGCTTGGAAATGCAAAGAATAAACTAAAAAAGTTGGTATGAATACGTTGCTATGCCCGAAGGTCAATCCCCGTCGGGACCTAAAGCTCAGTTGCCACCGATCACGTGATCTATCCAAGAACTACACTTTTTGATATGGAAAGTGTTAGGATGAATGAATATGTTGAATAAAATGAAATAATGAAATGGAAATTTCCCATTTCCTTCTTTTCCTCTAAAAGAGTCGAGATATGCATACACCCTCAGCTACCAGAGTAGAATTAGCCATAAACCAGAAGCATTAGAGGTGTAGAAGTTAGAAATAAAAACGAGAAAATAGCAAATGACAGGGGTTAACTCTAAATACAAGGTGAGGAATCGAAATCGAAACAAAACGCATCATATCATATCGTCATCGCCATGTAACTCCAATAACAAAGCCAGATTACCAGAAACTACACCATCCAATCCAGTGTTGACAGATATTCTCAACATTGGTTGCCTGAGCAATGAGCTTGTCCACCTGGTCACTGACACTCAGCTCTTCGTTATTTCTGAAGTCTCGTCCGGTGAGTTTCTCCTTGACTCGGGCGAGAACCTGGAGAGCACGGGCATTCTGTGCCTCGCGGGCTTCTTGCGGAACGCCTTCTGGAGCATCAAGAATACCACCTTCAAGCATGGACGGGCGACGGCGACGGGAGAATTCGGCCGGTTGGGCGCCGGGTTCGAAATTGACACCTTCCATGATGGACCCGCGACGATCCGCAGGGAGAGACACACGGTCGGGGGACGAATCTTGTGTACCCAGACGCCAATTGATTAGAGGGTCATGGATGAACTAGAAAAGTAAAAGTCAGTGGGTGTGGTTTTAGAACGTCAAGAAACCAAGTTACTTACAGCCTCCAAAACCGCCATTAAGGAATCCTTATGCTCTCGTAGAACACGCATGACAGCCTCGCAAGTGATGCGGTAGCTACCCTCAATGTTGCTGACTTCCATGGCGAATGTCAACATGCGAGTAAGTCTGAACGGAACCCGCTCCGGGTACTTCTCTCGGTGCATTGCGATCTCGAAACAATCACCAAAGTCGATATGAACCACACGGCCATTACCACGATCCAGCAACAAGTTCGATGGATGTCTGTCTCCCAAACCAAGAATGTAGCCGACCATAGACATAACACCGAGCGACCGAGTATAGTTGGTACGGCGTTCGAGCCATGCCTCGGAGCTCTTGCTCTTGAGCCATAGCACCCGGTACAAATCTTTGCCGGTCGTGTTGTCCATAGCGTAGCCGAAGACTTCAACCTTCTGCATGAGAGTAAGGCTATCGTAGTCAGGTGCCATTTGAAGCATGATCCGGTGCTCGATGTTGAGTAAAATCCGACGGCTTTCACGATATTCCTTGATCAAGGCATGCAATGTATCACTGTTGGACACCCATCCCAGCAGACCAGAGCTCTGAGACAATGGAATGGCAGGGAAGCGCTGAACTGACAAGTGTCGCTTGAAACTCTCACTATCATTATCCAGCAAAGTATTGCATAAGCCAAAGAGTTGCATGACTCGCTCATCTTGTCGGATATCTTCATGACCCTTGACCAGGTACATGTAAGAACTTCCATTGCTGCCCTTGAGCGTCATGCGACGAGGTCGCTTCTTTGTCTGCAAGACATGCAAGATCGGGTCAAAGCTCATGATTCGAATGACTGGCTTACCACTCTGGTATGTTCCTGGGACGGCAAGGTCAAGGTCTGAGCAATCTTTGAGTCGAGGAGACACATATTTGAGATCGAGAGTCGATAGCTGTGGCAGTTGTCGGCTGATCTTGCGGAACACAGTGTAATACAAGTCCCAAGCTTGGTTGAGATCGCCGATTTCCTCCGATTCGCGATACATCATGCAGTAGTGCTTGGCTTCAGCCAGATCACGACCGAAAGCTTGGGCAAATGACACCTCGCGAAGGGTCTCGGCTCCCTTGTCTAGCATATCATGGAAGGGAGCAAGTGTTGAGAACATGCCTTCAACATTGTGATCACCGAAATAGAGACGAGAGGCTTCTTCCAGACCTTCATGCCAGAGTTCATGCCACAAGACCGCAACTCGGATAAGTTCATGACTCACAAGATCTGCTTGCTCGACAAGCTTGGCACTATGTTGCCGCATACTTTCCATGATGTTGCTAGCAGATTGAGAGCGTCGAGTCACGTTCGATTTCATTGCCACCGTCAGTGGATAAACAAGGGCTTGAGGATGCGCTTTGCCAACCTCGGCAAGCAACCTATGAACCGCACCCCGGACCCTGATATTGGGCTGATTGATTCGAGCGATCAATTGAGGAGTGACAGCAAGCCAAGTGTCAATATTGACAGCCGTAAATCCCTCCGTGACGACAGTATTCACCTCATGATCTCCGCCGTGATTAAACCACAGAGTAAGTAATCTTAAGGTGTCTTGCAACGAAGATGTCAAGGACAAAGCAATGGAGCGAATGAATCCGCGAATGGCAGGAATCACATGCTCTGTAACGATATGGGGAGGAACCGGCGTAGGCAAGCCCTCACGGTTAGCCTGGTTGGAAATCGTTGTAACAACTTCAAAGTTTGCAAGTGCCCAGGAGTGCCACGCCTTGTATGAATCCCGGTTGTATTGGGTCGCCGCCGAGTAGGCGTTGAGAACATCTCGAACGTTTTCCGGCCTCCAATCACCTCTCTGCAGAGTTGTCTGCCACTCTCCTTGCCTAAGATAGCTCTTGGAAAGAAGTTTTCTGAATTTGCTGGCGTCCCCAATCCGTTCGTTCAGACTGATAACATCTGGGTGGTTCTGATCGGCGACCCCGTTGACTCCATTCGCACCATGGTGATCGGCATTTGATACCATGAGTGTGTTGTATCTGGAAAAATCATCGGTCAGACCAGAGGTAAACTCCTTCATCATTTCAAGAGATTCTAGTTGGTGACCATTTGCCCAACTGAATTTCAGCCTGGCGTATGTAACTTCGGGCGGTGCGATAGTGCGCATGCCATTGGCATCGGACACCACTGTCTCTAGAGATGCAAGGGACCGTTCTGCAAGACCCATGCGATTGGACTTGCGACAAAGATTGGCGAATTTGATGGACATGTCGAGATTCTCACGTGGGGCAGTGACAAGAGCTCTGACCTTGAGCATACGCTGCCACACTTCCACGTTTTGTTGACACCCAAGCAATCTTTGGTTCCACGTTTTACGCATAGCATCTTGCTTTTCAGGGTCGCCGATGTTTTGCTTGTATGTGATGATCTCTTCTAGCTCAGCGAGCATCTGGACCCGGACAACGACATTGTAGGCACGATTGTATGACTCCCCTAGAAGAGCAGACAATTCCGTATCGAGACCATTGCGAGCCTTCTCGATGTACATATTGGCCTCTTCGAATTGGTTGCGATGGATTGCCAGAATGGCACCGAAGAATGAGCGGTCCGGAGTCTGCTCTTTCATGACACCGAGGTAAGAGTCCATCAACTCCCACTGGCCCCGACCCCAGGCAGCGGCAGCGGCAAGAGGTGCAATAGCTCGGCGATGCTCCAGTGATGCTTGGTTCCATTTTTCTTGAGCGAGGTCTGAGAGAACCTTCCACTCGCCAAGAGCATGCAAACAGCGCATCTTACCCATTGTGATACCAAATGAGTCTGGGTCTGTCTTCTCGCGTCGCTTGTAAGCAGCAAGGGCTTCGTCCCACCGTTGAAGCTTTTCAAACCATGTTTCCTTGAGCTCAACATCTCGATACGCCTGGGCTTTGCGAAGGATACCAATAGCAGCGTCAGACTGTTGAAGTTGGTTGTTAATGGTAATCAAAGCTTCGACAGCACCCGAATTCTGATCTTGCTCAAACTCGAGTTCTTTGTAGTGAAGGGCTTTAGCAAAAGCGTGACACTTTGCAGCATACTTTCCAAGAGTGCGGATGTCGATGGGAAGAGCCTTGTCGTCGTGCTCCATGAATTCAGCCAGATTGAGAAGAATTTGCAAAATCTCTGGGGAGATGTTGGGAGAAGTAAGCGCCTTTTCAATTGAGCGGACGAGCTCTTCCTGGTATTGATCATACAACTCAGTCCAGCATGAGACAAAAGCAGCATTGAAAAGGTCCCTTGAGAGCGGCTGGTAGATTCCAGCCAAGCTAGCACAAGCACGTAGCGCCGGGGATGGGGATTCCTTCAAGAGCTCAATGCTGAAACGGCGTATCCATTCCTGCCAATCCTCACGAGTGGACTTTTGCGAAGCATCCCACGCGTTCTTCAGATGTTGCTGGTTCACGACAATCTTCTTTTGTCCAATTTCAGAAAAATTGGTGTCATCAGTAGGGAAAGCATAAACCTCTTCTGGGTTGAGGTCCTGCGGCAGTGGGTCGCCCTTCTGAAGTTTCGTCACAAGGATTTGGTAGTTGACATGCGTAATCTGATGGGTTTTTAGGACCTTGTTGAGAAGATGAATGTAATGCGTGAAGTCCTGTCCGAGTTGGAAAATGAGAGCACAGATGCAGTCCATCGCAGCTTGACGCAACACACGATCACCGCTAGCCACGACTCGGGACAGGGAATGAACCATTAGGGATGCAAAGTCAGAGACATTAACTTGCCGCGATAGTTTTGTCAAGCTGTCGATAGCAGATTTTCGGATGCTCTGAGGATTTTGTGGCCGATCAAACAGATGGACAATGGAAGGAATGATGAGATGCATGTATTCCTCTCCGCTTGTACCGAAAATCAAAAGGGCGTGAAGAATCTTCTCGGAGGGCTGGCGACGAGGCGATGTGTCTTTATCCAGTGTATCGAGCATCAGAGGAATCAGGCCAGCAAGATACTTCCGGAATTCTCCTTCCAACGACCTAGCAATCGCCTCGACCAAGAATATAATGGTACCCTGGATTTGATATGAAGCATCCCAGAAATCTCTAATGACCTCGATGATCTCTGGCAAGAAAGTGCGAATATGCTGTCGCACGATATTCACTAGGATTGCCATCTGATTGAAATAGGACTCAAGGCGGCTAGCGGGAGCGCTTCTAATGACTAAGATGAACCCTGGAATGATTTGTCCAAGGAATGGGACACACTTCAAACCCAGAGTCTTGAAGATTGTAACGATGGCATCAATGACAGCTGAGTGATATTGCGCCAGGGAGTTTTCTCGCAGAATGTTCTGCATCAAAGTATGGATGACCACCGTGGGATAATACTCCTCGTTGGAAGGAGTGAGGCCCTGCATAATGAGGGCAACATCAGAAACATTCTGTATTTCGTTGATGTGGTGCACATCAGGTTCGATCTCGCTGATCTGTTGGTACTTGTAGGGATCGAGGGCACCGAGGACTCCGAGAAGCTTGATGGTCTCTTTGCGCAGAGAGCCTGTCTGTTCTGTTTTGATAATGTTGATGAGTACGGCGAGAAGATGGGGATATTCCATGTATGGCTCGATAACGTAGCCTGAATTGCTCGCCAACTGGCCCAATGTCCGAAGCGCAGCTTCACGTTTGGTATGCGACGAAAGGTCCTGGAGCGAGTCCAAAATAATTGGCATAATCTGCGGCAGATATTGTCTCATCTCATGGCCGCCGACATTGGCAAGCTCACCAACTGCCTTCAAAGTAGTGGCAGCAACGCCTGGATTAATGTCGGTTGCTTTGGGCAACAATGCGGTCACCATGGGATCAACGTAGGACCTGATCAATTTCGTCGCATTGGAGACAAACAAGCTGATAAGTTGAGCTGTTTCCTCCTTTTGGCGAGCGGTATTCGCGAAGCCAAGGCCAGTGAGAAGATTGACCAGCAGTTTTCGTAGTGGCGGGAAGACATAAGCAGGGTTGACGCTGGAAAGTCGACCGATAATGCAGATCGCGGCTTCTTTGACATCAAAAACCTCATCATTGACTGCTAAGAACAAACATCGAATATTCTCTGGTCGTGCCAGATGACGATCGAATTTGCGGTCTAACGACCACAAAACGGTGCGTCGGATTTCAGGGTCAGGGTCTCCGATACCCACAGTCAAGAGCTTGTCAATTACCTCACTGACAACTTGAATAGAGTGTCCGCTGGTTTGGTTTATGATTGGATCGTGAACGAACAGTTGACAGCACGTAAGAGCTGACGCTTTTCGAATTTCCGGGTTATCATTTTCCACGTAGTTGATAGCAACATCACGCACGAACTCGTTCAGTATGTGCCCAGAGAAGTCAAAGCTGCCCAACGTGTGAAGTGCTAATGCGATATCGGAATCAGAGTGAAGCTCATGGGGTGTAAAGTCTTTTGCGAATGATGGCATAGGAGGTAGTCGGTTTTCGGGACAGCCGAGGGGACGGAATGGCGTTCCACAAAGGATGATACTCAGCATATCAAGAAGCTTTTCCTGGATCATAGGTTTGATGGGAGGAATGTAATGAGCCATGTCGACCAGAGCCTGTGTTAATGATTTGCTCAACCCACAGGCAAAAATGGGATCCAGGAGAGCCTCCATGTATTTGCTGAGCGCCTGCCCCACTGCGAGGGACAGCATGCTAATGCATTCAAACATCGGTGCTTCGTTAACTCCCGATCGATTCCTCGCCTTCATTGCAAGTCCCTCTCGAATGTAAATGATGATGCCATCGAGATATTGGCTGATAGCGGTGCCCACTGCATTGGCAATCTTTCCAATGGCAATGAAGGCGGAGTTCCTCTCTTTGTCTCTCTTGAGTTGCGCTTGAAGGTAGACCATGAATTTGTGTAGATAGATCTCAATGAAATCGGTGGGGGCATATGAGGCAAGAATGGGGATTGTGAGAACGACTTCGGTGCGAATCTTTGGGTCACGGTGGTCCTTGAGACGGAGGATGATTTCGCAAGCATTCCGATAATGTTCCTTCATGAACATTGTGCCCTTCAAGATCAGCTCTTTGATGATTAAAATGGAGCCATGAATATGATCAATATTATGAGACTTCAAGCCCAGGAGTGCTTCATCGTATATCCGTGCAAACCATGATTGACGGACTTGAGAATCACGAGCCACGATTATTTCAAAGCATTCGCCAACGGCCTCGGCGGCAGTCTCACGTATGAGGACTTTTGGGTCTCGAAGGGCAACCCAGACAAGCTCAAAGACCTGGGGAACGAAGCCGTAGAGGAGTGTTGGTGAGCCCTTGGCCAGTTCCCGGATCACAAGCACTGCTGCAAACCGCCGACTTTCCTGGCGCTCGGATTGTAACCATTCTAATGCAGATTGTATTTCGCTTTCCACCAGTTCTGCGGTTAGAGCCCCGCCGGGCTTCGCGAGGCGGCCCAGCGATCGGGCCGCATACACCAAGACCACATTATCATTGCTGCGAAGGGCGCTGCGCAAGTAACTGGCAAATCTCGTTGTTTTCTGAGCCGCATCGACACCGTCAAAGTCAATGAGCCGATCGAGTGCTAACAAGCCACCGATTCTTTCGTTTGCATCGCTGCCGTTGACCACGAGTTGGGCGATGCGTTGGCTAACGGCGTTGTAAAATTCCACGAACTTCTCCGACGGCCAATCTGCAGAAGGAGATATGTCAGCTAGTTAGAGGTCTCGGAGTTCAACCGGCAGTACCTCTAGACACGGATAGGACATTATCATAGAGCTCGTAGGCAGCTCTGGCTCTGGCCTCCTCATTCTTTGACTTGAGCTCCACGAACAACCTTTGGGTCACGTCTGTGATTGCACCTGCTTGGGCCATATTTGCGAATCACACCCCAGGGTGGACATTGGAATACAAGGTCTAGGCCATAAAATAAAAACACGCAGAGCGCATAAAGTTGGATGGTAGAGGGAGGGTCATGTGTGAGGCTTGGAGAAGGTCGAGGGGTGCACGGGCCAGTTTGGAGTTCCCGACTCCGTGCGACCCTGGCTCTTGACTATCTAACATCACTCTAGTTATATGTAATCACTACTTACTATTTGATATCTATTTTGACATTATTCAGTATATTGAGGATAATCCCTGGTGCTTGAATACTATTCAAATTCTGATGGGTCTAAGAATCGAGCCATATTACCCCCAGCACCAATACGTCACCCAAGGGATCCGATGGATCATGGCATTGACAATCCAGGTAGTCTAACATTTGTGCAGAAAATTGATTATAAAAAATACATCTAAAACAGACATTGGAGTGCTCATCTCAAATATAGCGTTAAGGAAAGAGGCTACATAAGCGGCCGACTTTGCTTGTTTTGTATCATTCAGATTTCCACGAGGCTAGAGGTGCACAGGTTTGCTTCCTAAGATTCAAAGGTTGCATCTATAAATTTGATAAGACCCATTCAGGAGGCATTTCGTTAAGATCAATTCACTCTCCCCCACTAGGACAGGTATTTGAATGCTCGATATCTGTGGACAAAGTGACTTAATACCAGGCTTCTAGCACATCCTAGGGGAAGCTTTGTAGAACAGCCTTTTATGTTGTAGTGACTAATAGAGAATATGAGACGATTCCTCGGAATTTCAAATCGAACGTGCAATCTGAAATAGGAGAAGATGTGGTTGAAGCAAGGATAAAGATATTCGACACAGGACACTGCTAACATCAATTATAGTTCATTATTTCCCAGGCCCTGAATCGACAAACACTAAGCAGATATGGAAGATTCTACTGAATATATTTGATCTCCTATAAGCAGCCTGGGCACTAGTCACCTTGACTTCTATTTGGTGAAATGGGTAAATCAAAAATAGATCTTAACTACAAGGGGTTAATGTTGAATCAGGGCTCTACCAAAGTGGTGCAAGGAGATAACAGAGTGCCTATAAGCCTAAGCTCTCCGGACATACGGATTTATAGCGACATTAGTACCTTAACTCCATTAAACACCGTGAGGTCTTGTATTTATAATCGCCGGTCAGGATTTCTAGGCCGTAATAGGCCGTTGCGGGGGATGACGGGATCGAGGGGGAACCATAAAAGCCAAGCTCCTCGCTCCCCCAATTCTTGAACATCTCATCTGTAGCTACTTATATCACAATGGTTAAAGTTCTTTTGACTGGTATGTGATTTTAATCTACCATCGGACCTCAATCTAACTATCTGCTTTAGGAGGCAGTGGCTTCATCGCCGCCCACATTGTGGACATTCTGCTACAGCATGGGTATGTTTTAGCCATAAACATACACATGGTTGAAGATTAACAATTTCATTTTAGTTTTGATACAGTTGTTACTGTTCGATCGGAGGAGAAGGGCAAACGGATAATTGAGGCTCACCCTGATGTGTCGAAGGAGAAGCTCTCTTACGTGATTGTCAAAGATGTAGCTAAGGATGGTGCATTTGATGAGGTTAGTAGATCGTTCCCCTAATAGATACACAACTAACGGAAATACAACAGGCCGTCAAATCAAGCCCCCCTTTGACTATGTTCTCCATACCGCATCCCCTTTCCACTTCAATGTTCAGGACCCTGTGAAAGACTTCCTTGACCCGGCCATCAAGGGAACGACCGGTATCTTGAAGGCAATCAAAGAATATGCCCCTACCGTGAAGCGAGTGGTCATCACATCATCTTACGCTGCTATGGTGAACGGCAAGCAGCACCCCAAGGTCTACAGTGAGAAAGAATGGAATCCGTTGACATGGGAGGAGGCGATGGACCACTCGCAAGTTTACCGTGGTAGCAAGGTAGGAAATTTGATGGTCTGTCTAAGTATTTAAGTGCTAATTCAATCTATACAGACTTTTGCGGAGAAAGCAGCTTGGGCCTTTGTCGAGAAGGAGAAGCCAAATTTCGATATTGCTACCATAAATCCACCACTGGTGTTTGGCCCGATCGTTCATTATCTCAACTCTCTTGAGACTATCAACACTTCAAACCAGCGCATCAGGAACCTCATTCAGGGTCAAATGAAGGAGAAAATAGCCCCAACGGGCAACTTCCTGTGCGTAGATGTGCGTGATGTGGCCCTCGCACATGTCAGAGCCATTGAAGTTCCCGAAGCAGGCGGCGAGAGATTCTTTGTCACCACTGGCTTCTTCTCGAACAAGGAACTTGCAGATATTATTCGCGAGACTCACCCCCAGTTAGAGTCTAAGCTACCCCCTGCAGATGCTCCCAGCGACTTCCCGGGAAACATCTTTGGGATTGACAACAATAAGTCGCAAAGGGTCCTTGGGCTCAAATATCGCCCACTGAAGCAAACAGTGTCAGACACCGTTGATTCTCTTCTAGCTGTTGGTGTTTAAACTAGGAGTTGCCTTCGATGTTTTCCGTTTCATAGATCGAGATTGAATTGATAGATACATTGTAGATCCAATATTCTTCTTTGGCAACTACGTATATCGGAGCAATTTTAAGCAACAGATATTATCGAACCCTAGCCGCATTTTGCATCTTATATATAAGAAAGATAATCTACGTAGCAAAGATTGATCAAGGGTCTTTGGTACATTGTATAGATACAAAACTGCGGGCTGGGTCGTTGGGGCTCACCGTACCGCTTTGGCCCGTGTTCTCCGGTCAACTTTTCTCGCGCCAGCTATCCAAGATCACATAGTCAATCCATTAAACAAGATGGCCTCCGCCAGGCTGTCGCCAACGGCGAACTTGCTACGAAAGTCGCGTTTATTCGCACTCCCCAAAACTCTCAATGGCCCCAGTGACCTAACATCGAAAGAATCCGGCACCGCAACTCTGCCTCACCCCATCCGAGCCTCCATCGTTACACCGCAATCATCACTAGCCCGAGGCGATTGGGGACTGAAGCGACCTTTACCGGCCAAGTCGACATCGGAGAAATCATCGAGACCGGTAGTCAGGTTGCACGCCCTCGATACCTATGAACATGTGACCGACTTCGAATCCGCCGCAGATCACACTGTGACCCTCGAGAAGTTCCAGGAGATGCACTTGCCTATGTCTCTCCCCTCCAAAGTCAATTATGCTACAAGTGTTGTGCCAAGGCATCAAAGTCCATTCGAGACGCATCTCGACAACACCGAGACCAGCCAGGGTCTCCAGGAACCGGGTGCTAAACAATTTAGACACACCGGTCCTTGGCTTGCTGGGCAGACGGAGGCAGAGTTCGCAGCATACTTGAAGCAAGTGACCCGCAATAAGCCTGAGCTCCTGAAGAAACTTCGTGAACAGTTTGTTGCCAAGCGTTCTGCTGAGATCCGGAAGCTGGCACAGGATAATGGAGAGGACTTGGACGCTCATCCCGCAATTGTCACCGATGCGGAGTTCAATGCCTACATCAAGACTCTGCGCAATGACCCATTCGCTCTCGGTCCTGTGGTCTTTGATCTACTTGACCTCGCTTCCCCCCTGCCGTTCCCAGCGAGCGTATCGGGCGCAAGTACTATCAATCCCCTGGAACTAAGCTGTCCTCATTCGAATACGCCATCTCAGGACCCCCGAAGACACACCCGTCTGCCGGTCTGTCATACACACGATCACACGCTCTGATCCACAATCATGCCCAGTTTGGCCCACAGGCCCACCAGCGCCCCGTGGAGGCTCGCATCTTGCGCCCCAAGGGCCGCTTTAAGGGACGCATGGCTCGGGCCCTCGCAGGTATCGGTGGTATTGCTGTTGAAGACCTGAATGCCATGACCTTCGTGGAGCAAGGCACACCCCCTGGCCTGACTTTCTTCGATGCATCCATCCCCGGTGGAGGTAAATACTGGGTTACTCCCATCCGGGCTTCGATTGACTCCGACGGCCGTATTGGCCTTTCATCTTATCGCGCGAGTGCAACCGCTAAGGCCCCTTACGGAATCGAAGACCACCACAAGCCGAGCACCTTGACCATCTCCGATGTTGCCACTGCCCCATCCCCGCTGGTCCCAAGATTAGACCGACAGTCATTCGGCCAGCCTCGCTTCCAGCCTTCCACGGAGAACCGTTCCCGGAGACAACCCACGAGGGGGACAGAGGACGTCGCACGCAGCCTTCTCAATAACCTCAACTCTAGGTCATAGGGAAAAGTGAAGTATGGGTGGATGTGCAAGGGATTGTACCATGTATGATAGATTTGGTGCTTGTGTAAAGCTACTTTCATTTTTCTTTTTTGACTATGTCATATAAATCGGATGCATCAATATCAAGTTATTTTCTCAGCGATAATTGGCTTATTTCCCACCGAAATAGAAAATAACAAGACACATGAGTTCACAATAATCGTACACATGAGGAAGGACTTTTAATGTGTTTGCTACCTTCCTAAAACAGCAAGGGCCATCCATCCATCCATGGATGGATCCATATTGGAGAAGATTATATAATCATGGAGAAAAGGTATCTGACACGTGACTTGTAGATTAGGGCCTAGGGCAAGGACCCGCACAGGACTAAGCGAAAGCCTGCTCTCAAACTCATCCAAATCGGCACGACGACACTCGATCTTTCGAACATTCATTCCGCCAGCCAACAACCGCCAAAATGGGTCGCGTCCGTACCAAGACAGTCAAGCGCTCCGCTAAGGTCATCATCGAGCGTTACTACCCCAAGTTGACCCTCGACTTCGAGACCAACAAGCGTATCTGTGATGAGATCGCCATCATTGCTTCCAAGCGTCTTCGCAACAAGGTGAGATTCGATATATTACAACCAACAATCGAGACCTTCAATCCTGATTCGCAATTTCTTCTAGATCGCTGGTTACACTACCCACTTGATGAAGCGCATCCAGCGTGGTCCCGTCCGCGGTATCTCCTTCAAGCTTCAGGAGGAGGAGCGTGAGCGCAAGGATCAGTACGTTCCTGAGGTCTCTGCTCTCGATGTCTCCCAGACCGAGTCCGGCCAGCTCGACGTTGATGCCGACACCAAGGACCTTCTCAAGTCCATGGGCGTAAGTTTTCTCTGCACACTACGACATCTTGGAATATATCTAATATATCTCTACAGTTCGACAACCTCAAGGTCAACGTTGTTGCCGTCAGCCAGCAGCAGCAGGCCGAGCGCCCCCGCCGTTTCGGTCCCCGCTAAATCCAGCGCCCGGAATAACGAAAAAAAAAAGTTCATACCTGGCCTACGGTCGATCCTTGGCGGTTACCCCGACAATGTCTGTTCTGGCTGGCTTTTCGCCCGGCTAGCATGGTTTAGCTTAGTGTGGAGGGCTATTCCTGGATGAGGAATGAATAAACATGATTCTCTTTGAGAAAAGGTGTCGCCGATTCTCCGAAAGGAGATGACGCTCGATTGCCAATTTTTTTTTTCTCGTGTCTACCTATGAGTTAACTCTCTAGGTCGGACTATGTAGGAATTCTTGGACTGGGGGCTACCTCGGTCTAAGTGATTCGAGACCTTTGGTGGTCTGAGTCATGTCTGGATTTATACCTACATATCTATATGTACGTATGAGTCCTGCTGGCCAGCCTATAGCCATACATATGTTCTCTGCGTAGATTGTTCATTACTCATGTGTCAATGTCAACATTGATCGGGTATTAGAAAAGTAGAACGCCGAAAACCCCCATGGAATCCCATCGCAACCTGGCTGGATCAGATCTGATCGAGCAAATCAATGTCTCCATCTTGATCCACGCTTCGATGCTCCCTAGGCACGTATCCTTCAATGGAACCGCCATTTGCATCCTCTGGGCGCATTTGTGGAGCGCCAGGAACCTGTTGAGAACCACGTTGATTCTCTCTGATATTGACGTTAACACGTCCATCCGGACGAATCGTGCTGGTATCACCACGTTCCAAGGCAAGCTCCCGGGACCGATCGCGATTCCCAAGTCCCATGCTCTGCAAATCATCCACAACGGAGGATACACTGCTAGTAGCCGCTGGTGCCTTCAAGCGCTTGGCTCGAGCTTCCTCGAGCAGTAGAATACTCGTGCCCCTTGTGTCACCGGCCCGTCGTTCCCACACAGGCTTCTCGGAAAGCTGCACCCGGATCCAAAGAGCACGCTCGGCGCATGCATCTGAGCACCACTTTTCGACGCGATCCTCGGAAACGATATCGACGCTGCGTCCGCGCCCCCTGGCCCGCTTCCTTTGGGGCCGTATTTAAATTGGAATCCGCCTCCTGGGCCTCTGTCTCGCTTGCGATACTTGCGAGGACATAAAGTGTACCCGCACGAGTCTTCGAAGTTTCGCTCCAATATCAGATTGTCGTAGTCGCTGGGGCGGAATGGAGCTAGCGCATATTTGAATTTTATGGTATCTTCTTGAGACGGTGCGGCAGGGTCGGCTGTCGGGGAGGAAGGGAGCTCGAGGAGCTCAAGAATGCGGTTTAGGATGATATCTTCGGCGTCTTTTTGGGTCTGAATCTGCTGCGCGTGTTCCAGAGCGACTTCGAGGTGCTGCTGAGTTGCACCGGGCCTACCTTCTAGGTATTTGTCTTGCTCTTCTTGTGTAGGATATAGGTATGAAGGTGGGGGTTGCTGGGCATTGACGGCGGCATATGTCTCAGGAAGAGAGGTCTTGAGAGCGTGGCTTGGATTTGACTGTGCCATAACGAATTGAAGCCCTGGAAAAGGTAATTTGAATTAAAAATTGGTTGAGTGGTGAGGTGAGACGAAATAGAGAAGAAAAAAATACCAGCAGAATTCGGGTCCAAAGCGGAAGAGGCAAAAACCCCCCGGGATCCCCAAACATGGGACACTTTCACTGCTGACGTAGGCTTTGGGCATTGACATTATTTGGGATCACATATGTAGCTTGTACATATTGTATATGTTATACTCGGTACACTTGACTATTTCTACAATTTCGATGTATAGACGTTTACCTATATACCTAGCTACCCCTAATCTACTGTTGAAAACAAGTTAGACTACATATATATATAATGTCAGTACGAGTATAAAAATTCTCATATAAACTTGAATTCAACACATTTCCCCCCCATGTGCGTGTTCCCTGGTTGATGTTAGCCGCCGATCGCCCAGTGGAGCCCATTTCCCTCATCCCGCCAAGTGACGACCACCTCTCTACATCCTCCCTACATTTTTTTTTGTCTTTCTAACTCTGTTCTTTTCTTCTCATCTTGTAGTTCTTTGCTGGCCCTGCATAGGGTGTTCGGTTCTCCACGTGAGTGCTTCCGCCGTCCCCCCCCTCATCTCCTGGTCGTAGGCACCCACTCATTGACGTCGTTTCATCTAAGCTGACACCCCATCGTACCACAAGGAATTGATTCGGTTCGCCCTAAATATTGCATACTAAAAGTATTGAAGCTGGCGAATCGCTCTGTACAGAGATTCTAGCGTCATTGCGTCACAGACTCGTTCAACATTCCTCACTCCACACCGATTATCTCAAAGTCTGATCCTCGGACTTGACTTGCCAGATGTCAGGTCCGCCCTTTACGGTCCGCTCGGTCTTCGAGTACGCTTCGGGCCACGATGATGATCTCAACTTCCCGATCGGTCAAATCGTGACCGTCACCGCCCTGGAGGATGACGATTGGTACTACGGCGAATACTCAGACGCCCAGGGGGCCAAGCAGGAGGGCATCTTTCCGAAAAACTTCGTTGAGAAATACGATCCTCCGGCCCCTCCGAGACCATCTCGACCCAGACCCAAAAAGGAGCCCGAGCCGGTGCCAGTCGAGTCCCCCGTGGTCGAAAGCAAGCAGGCTGAGCCCGAGCCCGAGCCAGAGGTGCAGCCCACCGAGGAAGATTATGAGATTGCATCCCCGCAGTCACCTATGCCCCAGTCCCCTCCTTCGCGCGCGACTGCCCCTATAGCAGAAGCTGCATCCTCACCCCCGCAGCCGGCAAAGGCGCCCGCTCCCGCCCCTCCCGTGGCCCCAACTGAATCCGCAGCCAAGGTACCCTCAAAACCTGCGCCCCCAGCTGTAGCAGAGAAGCCTTCGGGGTCCTCGTTCAGGGATCGCATTGCTGCCTTCAATAAACCTGCAGCAGCACCAGTGACGCCATTCAAACCAGGCGGTTCCCAGCCATCCTTCATCAAGAAGCCTTTCGTCGCGCCGCCTCCTAGCCGGGACGCCTACAAGCCTCCACCAAGAGAACCTGCACCCAAGATCTACAAAAGAGACGAGGATCCCGATGTAAAGGAACAAATTGCCCGCGAGCCCCCGGTCTCTGAAAGCCGGCCTGCTCCCGTTGAAGGCGAAGAGGGCGCGGAGGACCAGCCCAAGCCAACTAGTCTGAAAGACCGAATTGCGTTGCTCCAGAAGCAGCAATTAGAGCAAGCTCAGCGTCATGCCGAAGCAGCTCAGAAGAAAGAAAAGCCCTCCCGCCCTGCTCCTAAGAAGTCGATGGATGAACATGTGGCTCCCACAGTCGTCGACGAGGAACAAGAGGCACCCTCTGTCGAAGAATCGACGGCTGTCCGAGATCCTAGTGTTGATACATTGAGGGCTGCAGCCCCTCATGCACAGCCCGTTGCGCCATTCTCGCCTACCCAAGAAGTCGCGAGTGACGCCAATGACGCCGACTACTCCGCTGCTGCAGACTCCGAGGATGCAGGCGAAACATCCACTAGTAAGGATGACGAGGAAGATCAGCCTCAGCCTCGTCCCGTCGCCCAGCGTCAGCCGTCGACTCGCGCAGTCGAGCAACCTCGTCCGGTCTCCCAGCGTCAACAGTCGACTCGCGCAGTCGAGCAAACTGCCGTGGCAAACGTTGAAGACGAGGGCGAAGCAGAAGAAGAGGAAGAGGAGGAAATGGATCCCGAAACCAAGCGCAGAATGGAACTGCGTGAGCGAATGGCCAAGATGAGCGGCGGCATGGGTATGATGGGTCTCTTTGGCCCGCCTGCTGGAGGTATGCCAGGCATGTCTGGTGCCGCTGGTGCTCGCAAGCCCAAGACTCCCGGCGAGTCAGAGAAGAGGCTTGGGGAGCTTGAATCTGAGCCCACTTCGCCTGCCAATGCGCCCCCGGTTCCTATGATTCCCCTTCCTGGAATGAACGTGGCTAGCAAGCCGGTGCCTCCTTCTACTGAAGTGGAGAAGGAAGAGGAGGAGCCTTTGGCAACTCCTCTCGCGGAACAACACTCTGCACGTGAGGTGCCAGACGTCGAGGATGTCATCCACGAAGGTGCACAGCCTCGTGCCTCTATTGATCGTCCGGTCCCGGCACCCCCATCCCAAGGTAAGATATTCTCCAGCAGTCTAATGCATGATTTCAAGTCCTGATATTCGCAGATCGTTCGGCGCCTCCTCCGCCTCCTCGAGAGTCAAGACCCGTCCCCACTGTCCCGGGTGAGCCACCGGCTTCCCCGCCACCAGTTCCTGCAGGTAAGTACCTAGACCCTGAACCGATTTACCTGACGTGGGGCGTTGACGATGATATACAGGTCGACCAGTTCCTCCTCTACCACGGCCCACAACTGCCGACAATGGTGACGAGTCTGATGATGAATTGTCGGTTCACACATCTAGTCTGTCGTTGGATACCTCGGCTGCTCCACCGGCCGTGCCTGCACCTGCGATACCTGATCAGATTGACTCTCGCCGTGCCGAAACATATGACCCCGTGTCCTCTGCCGCTTCAACCCCTGCGGCTGAGAAGAGAGCTAGTCGTCTGCCACCCCCCATTCCAGTCAATCCACCCATGCCACCATTGCAGGGCCGCGCTCCCCCGCCCCCGCCCCCAGACCAGCTCCGTCGCCGATCTACCGCTGATAGTCGCATAAGTGCGTTATCTCCTCGACAAGCTGGAGAAGAAGCGGAAGGGGAAGTGACTGAATATGATGGAGATTACGACACCGATATCGCATCGGGAGTGAAACACAAGGATGCTCTGAAAGCCCACGAACGTGACTCCAGCTTTGACGAGGGTATTACCACCGACGACCATTCCATCCAGTCCCCGCGCAGCCCCCAGGAATCCCGGCATCCCCCACCACCTCCACCCACGGCTCCCAGGGCAGTTCCGCCTCCACCCCCAAATCAGCCGCCCCGGAATGCCCGTGCGTCTATTGACACACCTAGGGGACCGCCTCCTCCTCCCCCGCACAGAGATCCCGTCAGCGATGATGATGCTGAGTATGACCCTTTCAACTACTCCGCTCCCCGACATGGTCTCCCCACTTCTCCGCCTCTCCCGCTCGGTCGCCCAGAGGCTCCTCCTCCTTTCCCACCGCAACAAGCGGCCGATGAATACGACGATCTCTATGATGCACCCCCCGTGCAGAGCCCGGGAAAAGAAAGACCCTCTCCTTTGCATGAGAAGCGTCTTTCACTGGCGCCTCTGCCTTCCCAAAGCCAGGCTTCGGGTTTGCCATCTCCGTCCGCAGCCCGAACCCAGCGCGCATCTATGGATCTTCTAAGAAATCAGCCTAACGTTCGTCGGTCTATGGATGTTTCTCGCCCCTCTATTGACCAAGGCTACATCGCCACCGATGTTGATTTCGCCGAGTATACCCTCTGGTGGACTAAACCCAACACCCCGCCTCCAGCGTTCCAGAATCGCACTGATCTGCTTTTCGAGGTCGAGGAGACTTCATCCACAAACCGTGGCGGCAAAACAACAGTCTCGAAGGATGTCTATATCCTGTTCCTCGATTACTCCCAGACAGTCTTGAATGTCCAATTTGACCCCAAGAACCCTGCGGATGCTTCTTTCGAGCAACGTCATGAACCCCCACCGCTCCCGCTTCGCCAGGATCAGCTCGAGCAGGCTCATATTCAGCTTGGAACGCGAATCTCGGAAGCCGTCAACTCGATCCAAAACTCTACTGTTGGAGATGGCACTCCCTTCGGGCTGGTCCAGCACCTACTCAATCCTCTTTCGGACGCGCTGCTTCCTGTGGGGACCCGCGGATACGGTGCCTCGGTCTATTCCAACCTGGCCAATGCCTCCGTGTCCCAGAACGACGAAATCCGCGCCGGTGACATTGTCAGCTTCCGCAATGCCCGATTCCAGGGCCACCGCGGCACCATGCACCAGAAATACAGCGCCGAGGTTGGAAAGCCCGACCACGTCGGCATCGTGGTCGATTGGGATGGCACAAAGAAGAAGATCCGAGCCTGGGAGCAAGGCCGCGAGAGTAAGAAGGTCAAGATGGAGAGCTTCAAGCTAAACGACCTCCGCAGTGGCGAATGCAAGGTGTGGCGAGTGATGCCCCGTAGCTGGGTGGGCTGGGAAGCCAGTAAGTAACTGGACGATAGGATTCTGGTCTGAGACTTCACCCTTTTTGTTGCAGTTGCGCTATGAGCAGACGACCCTTTCTTTTGTGTTTTTTGCTTGCCCCTTCTAGATTGGGTGGGATCATGTATGAATGAAAAGGAGCCTCCTTTCTCCCCTGTCTTCTATATTTTTCTCCCTTTTCTCTTTTCTTGTCCTGCTCCCCTCTTGTGAAACATCTGGACTTGGTGTGGTAATATGAGATGGGAAATGGTGGTCCCCGTTTGATGGAGAGTTGAGCGAGCGTGCAGCTTTTCGTTTTTTTGTTAATGGTACATCTTGCATGATTCTATCCGAGCAAACTATGAGATACTATTCTCTTTCGGTCTATAAATTGCCACAGGTTAGAAATTATTGTATATCTTTGTATGGATTCCTAGGCCAATGACGACTATCCTGTACCAGATCCTATTCAACTTTACAATCAAATTCTCCGTACGAAATATGTTGTAGTCCAGGTTGTCGTAATTAGGGCTTACATATTCATCGAGCTAAGTCAATAAGCCCAGTTCCTCGTGTGTTCTAGAATCCAACGCCCCGTCTGAAGTAAATTAATCCTAAAATTCCACTGACGCTAAGAAAGTCTTTTTTGATTAACGGATCGAGTTCGAACAGCCAAACCCAACTGCCGACTCCACCACTTCGTAGACTCTCGAGTCAAACCAGAGCCTCGAACTCGGTCCAGTTATGATCCTACTCCCCGGATTGATATATGCTGTACATCGTACAATGACCCCGGTACCCGCTAGATAACGAGGCAATGAGCGGGATCGCCCTTGGCCACATCGAGAAACTGGGGGGCTGCCCCGGTCTCAGTAACCCCTCATCACCGGCAAGAGGGGGCTCCAATTATAACGTTCTTTTAGTTTTGTTGAGTTTCCACCGGCTACCATATTGGTGGAAGTTCCTGGACCTCTCCGGCTCGTACTCCGGATAGATATTCGCGATCGGTTCCTGGAATCCGGATCGCAGATATCGGATATCAGATTTTTCTTGCATTCTCGAAGCATAGATTAATGCAAGGTTACAATATACGAAGTATACTACCGGTGGTTAAGTAGTGTGGTGTATGGCACATTATATTTAGGAATTTTTAAGGCAAGTGACATGTCCAATGTCGGAGATTTTCGTTTTTTATCAAAAAAGAAATGAAATCAAACTTTTTTGGCTACGAGGATTGGCCCGGAGTGCTTAAGCCCCGGTTAGATCCATGGATGCTTTTGTATCTCTGATCCGTTGAGTTTACATCAATCCAATCAATTCTAGATCTTACTATATTTTATAGTATTGAACCTTGGAAAACTTCAAGAGACCTTCAAATGTGTACATGAAAAAGAAACCCGGAGCCGAAGCGTTAGATTACTATCCGCATTGGGACTAGTCAGGGGTATACCAACCAAGACCGGACGGTTTACCATTTCTTTTTTGGCTACATAATATAAGCCTAACTCTTTCTAGTCAACCTCGGAAGTTTCAAAAGCTTGTAGGCGGGGCCTTCCCAAACGGCTGTCAAGCCTAGCCAAAACGTATCTGAAGCGCTAAAGAAGTTTTCTTTTTTTTTTTTCTTTTGGCTTTGGTCGTTTGCTTTTCTCTATTTCATACCCACAGTGATAAAATCATTTTCAATACTATATTGGATAAGAAAAAATCGATTCCTGGGTCAAGTGGAGAGTACCTAGACTCTATCGGGGATTCTACCATGGTTCAACTTTCTCCAATTTAGGAAGTCGGAAGCCATACTCCGTAGAGAGTTGAACCATTGTCCTGCACGCTGTAGAGGTCCTGCAGTGTCGGAACATTCATGAATCCAGGCCTATATTGCAGTGACCTTATATTGTGGCTGTACGACACGCAAAGCCGTATTTTCAATGTATTGTTCTATTGATTATGATCTCGACTCTCCCAATATCTAACTTTATTGCATATTGCAGTACGGAGTATGGCATGTCTGATTAGCCTACCCCAGCTATGTTCTACAGAGATACTAATGAATTTCCCTTGCCGGCTACGAAGCAAGGAGTGCAATGGGCTTTGTGTGTGACCCTATCTCCTCTGAGAACTTGGATGAACTACGAACACCAGATCAAAATCCTCTGGAATGCAGTAATGGGACGATCTTTGTGTTTCCCGTGTCCAGGCCGGAACTATCTTAGCGAGTGTTTTTTTCCCTGATTTTACGGAGTCCCCCGGTTTCAGAAGACAACATACATCATGAAATTGGGAATTAACCACATGCCCGACCTATCCCGCAGTTAGGGTGGCGTTCAGCCCCAGGTTCCACCCGGAAGCGAGACAAGATGTGATCCTTAACATTTCATTTTTATTTTACGCAAGGGGTGAAACCAATTACAGTAATTTTGTGAGATTGGTACTTACTATTTAGAGGAATCTGAGCTGTTCGCTTAAGTAACTGTACCATACCATACCTACACTGGACCATGGATGCAATCTCGGGAAGCCCCTTGATGCCTCATGAGTATACAAATAAACAGAACATGTACAATAAGTACATATGTAAAACTACCATAAACAGATATAAAAAAACATATAGAAGAGTTAATATCGATCGACTGGTGGACACCAATTTGGGACGATCTTCTAGATCCCTTTTTTTACAATTTTTTTTTTCTGGTATGCCGCTAAGAGAGAGTTACAGTTCTGGATCCATTGCAAATCTCCCCTCCCATCGCATTCTTCGCGTCAATTTCCCCAGTCACTCTTTCTTGACCTATTTCCTTCTCGACTAACTCTGCTTATTGCTTTTTTCTTTCTTTTTGCTGTGCTCTGTCAATCCCTGCTAAATACGTTGATTGGCCTTGGATCCGGACCATTCACGGTACACGGCTTGAACTTGGCATTCCTTGCGCCTATTCTCTTCAGGAGACATTTCTCTCCCTGATCTCAATCTGCAATCATTGTTGCACTTGAAGGTCATGCCTCTCATTTCATTCTCTGGATAAGGATATCCAGTGAGTCACTTTGAAGGCATTGAGCCAAACCGGGACACTGATCAACTCTCAAGCTACTACTACACACTCGCTGGACTTATCAACATTTATTCACGTTATTTTAAATATTACCCAATCGCATTCATTCCTTTCCTATTACGGGGCCTCGAGCCTACCATCCATGATGAATCGATTCCGCAAACACAAGAAGGCGAAGGAGCCCGAGGATCAAGAAGGGGCCTCGTCAGGATTCAGCCTGAAGCCATCGAAGAAGAAGGAGACACCAGAACCCAAACCAGATTTCGATCTATCAGCCGCACTGCCCTCGACAGACAACTTCCGCACCAGTCTGCTAATGCCCAAGTTGTCCGCTCGATTTAGCATGCTGAAGGAACAGGACGACCCACTATCCATGCTAGGAAAGGCCAGTGACGATAGCGTGTTATTTCCTAAGCGCGCTTCTCGACTCAATTTGTTCGGCCACAGCCCCGCCATGCTGGCAGATATCGACGAGGTTTGCTCCAACGACGGTAGCCGACCCTCCCTTGCACTCGACCGCAGTGGTTCTTTTGCTTCCGGTGGGGATGGATATGGCACAGACGATGACCGATCCCAGGGGGCAGTATGATGAGCAGAGCCCGTCGCGCCGAGGGCAATAATCTGTTCGGAGGTCGCCAAAAGATTTACAAGATCCCGGTTAGATCGCCAGTGGGAACAACCCCCGATGCGCCAGAGGGTGGTCAACGGACCATGGGAAAGCCGGTATACGACCACGACATGAACCTATCTGCTTTTCAGCGGTTGCGCCTCAAGGAGAAGGAAGAGAGAACGGCGGAGGCCGCCCGGGAATCTGGATATGCCGCCTCAACTGCTTCCTCTAACAGCCGAGCCACATACTCCTCCACCGCATCTGGACCTCTGTCAACAGTTCCCACATCAACTGCAGCAACCTCGGCCGACGAGTCGCCGTTGAATACATCTCAATCTCCAATGACTGGTTATCCCTTCCCCGAAACCCATCCGGAGGCCCCTCGACCCGGTCCTGGGATGTCTACCCCGCGCAATGGTTCAATCCGTACCCGTCGTCTTTACGGACAAGGATTGACCCAGGCTGCTCAGAACCAGCAGAACTCGACCTTGAACCGCCTGGAGAGTCTGAGTCGCCAGCGGGCTGGAACTCCAGACCTCCCCTCTTTGAACCGCAACTACTCCAGAAGTGCCACCAACCTGCGGGGCCGCCTGCAAAAGCTTGCGATTGTCGAGCCACCTTCTAGCTCACAGCCAACTAGCCCACCTTCATCCGCAACGTCCCCGAAGCCCCGCATGTCCGGAGAAGCTGCACTCAGAGACCGGCTATCCCCTACAGCGGCAACGTTTGGGGCTCCTCCCTTGAGCCCACCCACAAGCGAGAATGACGAGGGTTCATCGCTGTTGGCCGCATCACTTCACCCAGAAGATCACGGAAAGGCTACAGCTATGGGCTTGTTCAACCGGCCTACCACTGGCTTCGATGAGCAGGCATTCTCCCGCCGCCAACTTCAAATGCACCAGGGACGAGAGACCCCGCCTCCACGCCGTGCATCACCTCCGCGCCGACCTCTGCCTGCAGAGCCCGTAGGCCGTGCTCGGGGACTATCCAAGTCCAGTTATCGTTCCCGAGCAGGGTCCGCCTCGTCTCACTATAGTAGTGATGCGCATCGCGGCATCGATCATTCTTGTGCGTCCAGCGTTGAGGCTTCTCCTTTCAGACCTGGGGTGAGGACTTTCTATGCCAACTCAAGTGCTAGCGAGTCCGGCGATGAAGGAGAGAACCGGTCTTCGCGCGAAACCCCTTCTGCAGCTGCACTGACCAGCGAGTACGGCCCGCCGCTTCAGCACTCGACTGTAGCATCTAACAAATCATCAACTCCCACGAAGGATCACCTGGAAACGCTCCCCGAAGTGAGATACTCCGATCTAGGTGATCTTAGACCCATCAACGAGAACGACCTTGATTTCACAATGTCACCCCCTGAAACCAGTGATAACACACCCAAGAGGCCTGACTCGCCAACCCTGCAGCCAGATCAAGGCTTTAGTGGAATGGGGGGAATGGTTCGATCTCACCTGCGTCAGGAAAGTGACAGATCTTCCATCTTCCCTCCCCCTTCACCTCACCAGAACGATAGCTATTTCCCGAAAATGGCGGCCCAGAAAGCGACTCCCCAGCCACCGGCCGCTCCTCCCAAGGTAGCACAACCTCCCGAAGAGAATCGGCCATCATCAGAAACACGCCCAGGAACCTCGAGCTCGCAATCTCCTTCTGGAGATTCTGCGGAGGGCACGGGTTCTCGAAACAGCGAAGAGTCATCCGCACCTGGGACTATTGCCGACACAGCTTCTGTATCGAACGGCTCTTCCTGGAGGGAGGAATTAGAACTTCATCATCGTCGTCATGGGAGTACAGAGACCCAAAGGGAGCGGGAGGAATTTGCCATCGAACTGGCAGAGAGGCGTAGAAAGGTGCAGGAGAAGCTGCGAAGTGTTGCTGAGAACGAAAGTCGATCCAGCAGCCCCACTCCTGGCCGGTCAACTCCGGACTTATCCCGGACTGGTAATGCATTTGCCATATTGAAGCAAAAGTCGAGTAAACAGGCTGGCGGGAAGCCGGATCAGAAGAAGCTGTTCGGTTATGTCGGTGGCAATTCGTCCACGCCTGCTCTCTCTTCAGATGACTCGTGGCGTGAAGAGGAGCGGCCCTCTTTCAACTTCGGCCGGCACTCCAACTCCAGCTCTCCACATATTGGATCGGAGCGTTCGCTCAGGTCTCGTATGCCATCTATGAGCCGCGATAACAGCTACGAAGACTCGCGTGAGTCCAGCCGCAGCCGCGGTCACTCGCCTTTCCGAGACCAGAGAGATCGTGCAGGCTCGGATGCATCAGGCCGCTCTAAGAGTCGAACCAGACTTCGCGAACGTGATGACCTTGAAACTGTGGATGAGGGTTCAATCATTGCACATGAGAATTTCGTTGCTCCTGAGGGCTATGAGCCTCCCATGCCTGCCTCGCGCCCTACGTCGAGTCGTCCATCAGCAGAAATGTCTGACTCTGTGAACTTCGACCGCACTCCCTCTACCGCTTCGGGCAGACACCGCAGTACCAGCCGATCCGGTACGCCTAGCTTCCAATACGAGCGGCCATTCCAGTTCTCGCAGTCCAACACATCCTCAATCATCGGTGCTTCGCCCCGGGCCCCGCCTGCAGCCCCGGCCTACTCTGCCAATGCCACTCCTCCGTTGAACGAAATGCCGGAATACAGCTCGTCTACATCCCTGGCTTCTGCTTCCAGCAGCTCCCAGATTCCCCAACGTGGTTTGGGACACGGCTCCCTCCTAAAGCGCCCTGTGAACAAAAAGCAAATCTCCGAGCCTACCTTTGTCTCATCCACATCCGATGTCCCTCTGGTCGGTCTGCCACCCGGATCCGCGCTGCCTTCACCCATCAGCCCACCTCCAGTGCCACCTATGAACCCCCGCCGTCGCCGTGGAACCGCCACCCAAACCATTTTGGGTGCGTTCAAGAGCGATAAGAGCGACAAGAACGACTTGTCGCGGGTCACTTCCCCCGTCCCGAGCGCCGCAGAAGAACAAAGCGGTTTCCCAGATGAAGAGAAACGCCCGCGTTCCCGCAACCGTCTCCACAAGACTTCAAGCGATGGCGGCAACCTGAATGGGCGCGCACGCCAGGGATCCATGCCTGGCTCTCCGCCGGCTGTTCCTCAATACCCGCCTCCTGCCATACCCGTCGATGGAGGCATGTTCTAGATATCTCTTCCCTTTTTACTCTTTATACCATTCACCTTGCCTTAACCTAGGCTCTCCTTATTCCCTTGGTTTCTCATTTACCTACACCCACTCTACCTACCATTCCCTACACACCCTCTTCCGGGCCTTTTCTTCTCTTCTCTGTCCCATCTTCCCTCCCTGGGCTCTCTTATCATTTCTGCTGTGACGACTAGATACCATTCGGTGCATTTGAGCGTCTCATGTCTACTTTCGATCTTTTCTTTCTTTTCCTTTTTGATATAAACACTTTTGAGCTGGATTTTCATCTTCAATGTATGTACCCTATTTTTTTTCAATTTCAATAGATATACCACTCGCTATACTAGCTGTTTACGGTCTTGTAGATTGCTCAAATTAGACGTAGAGTTTTCCCTCTTTGTAAGTGGTTTCGGTTTTCAACAAAAGCTAGTTATATATATTCTTCATGTGGTACAAGATATCGAACTTTGCGGACGATGACTGATTATAGTCGACCTCGAAGATTGACTATTGAAGAGTTATCCACCCTGTTGGACGCGGTTGAAAAGTATGGAAATGGTATATATTTGCTTCATCTAATCTAGAATCATACATTTTCATTGCAATTCGTTCAAGCTTTCTCCACTGCCGTCTTGAGGTATCCCAAGACCCTCTCAACAAGCCACTTCCGCGGCTCAGCTTGGTCATCATTACTCAAAGCATGGGAAGCATTAGGAATAACACCAGTGTGCTTTTCATCCCAAATCTGATATTTGCCATCATGGTCAGTAGCCTTCTGCCACCTAGCCAGCATCTTGTCCTTATCCACCCAATCAGGAATGGATTGATCCTTTCCAGAGATCAATACCATGAGCTTATGATTCAACAGACCCCGCTCCTGAATCATACCAAAGGTAGTCATAAAGTGCTCATCGCTCAGATCCGAGCTGAACAGATCATCCTCTCCAGGCAACTGGGGACTCTCAGGACTAACAAGACTTAAGAATCTTCGGCAGCTAATTGGGGTATTGGCAGGATAAATCATCGAAGTCAACGAGAGAGGCAGCATGGTATCATGAGGCTTTCCCTCAGCAACAGCCGCCTTCGCCAGCGCCTCCATCTCATCATATACAGCACGAGCCTTCTCAGGCGTGGTATCACCGATTCCCCATTTCAAGACGCAGAAGATGGCCTCACGATCAGAAACGGGCGCTTGCATGATTGCGCCGTCCAGCACGGGGCGCGTGATATGTTCGATATCGGCGTCGAAGGCTGGGATTTTTGTGTGGGGGTTTGATTGGGACAGGTAGTGCAGGACGCACTGACTGCCCGTGGAATGGCCCATCATCGCGATCTTGCCACCGCCGAATTTATCGGCCTTGTAGCTTTTGATGTATTCGAGACATTGGGCGATCTCGTTCGTATCACGGTCGAGATGTCCAACGCCCCATGATTGGTAGGAGGAGGTGAGGTTTAGTGTGAAGAGAGACCATTCTGAGTTTTGTAATGCGCGCGCGAGATCGGCCATGTAGGATGTTGTTGCGAGGCCGTCGCCGAGTCCTCCCACGAAGAGGAGACTGTGTGGTTGGCGGACGGTGCTGGAGGCATATTCGAATGTGACGAGAGTTTCGGTCTACGCGATCAATTGTTAGTTGTAATTCGAGTGATATCATTGACAGCTGTGCAGTTACATACGTAGTGGTGCAGAATACCGGGAAGACCTCCCTTAGGCCAGAACTTAGACATGTTGGTGAGTGAGTGAGTGTGTGGTGGGGTAGTGTGTAGGTATCAATTAAAGGGGAAAACTTTCTAGGAGCTGGAGAGGGCCTTCGGGATGGGGTTTTTTCTTTAATCAAACAAATTGCCGAGACCGGCTTTGTGTCTTTTCGCCATGACGGTATGTGGACAAATTTGTCGGTTAGTCTGAACCGAATAACTCGATCCACAGGGTGAACTGTTTCAGGCCATCTTATCAATCTGATTAAACCGAGGTAAGCCGAAATATTAGGTAACAAGTCTCACATCCATGGAATTGTTTAGTGCCAAGGTCAAAGCTACGGAAGGAAAAGGGTATACATTTTGAGGAAATTATATGAATGTCTTGAATTAGGTATTTCAGTATACCCGTTTAGGTAATACTGAGTATCATAACACACCTGTATGTTATTCAATACATTGGTATGTATTTAATAATAACGGTAAATACGACAATCAGATCATGTACGATGTACATACTGTCTCCGCTAGTATGGCCAAAAAATACAAGAAGCTTCGGAAATAAAGATAGACCAATTAAACTCCACCGTTGAGACTAAAGCTGTGGTTCACATGCAGGTTAGTCGGAACTAGCCGTTATAGGTAAGATCAACGGATCTGATTAGATTGATTGGCTGGAAGCAGGAGAATCTGATTAGATTGCCCCCTCTGAAAACTCTACGCAAGGTGCGGGCGAGAGTAAATTCGTCAACACCTGCAGCTCGATATGTACAAGACTTTCCTGACATGCTTAGGAATTCTTGGCCACTCAGTAGTCAGTCTTACCTGGCTTTATATTCGACGATCTTTGCCTGAAGAGATTTTCGTAATCTCTCATTTCATGCATTGTGAAAACCAAAACTAAAGTATGTATGCAGCGTTGCGGCCATTATCAGGCCATAGAAACCATTTTGTGGCGTGTGGAAGAATCCATTCAAACTTTCTACAAGCGAGCCAAGAGATCAAGGAACGTGCACGACAGAGTGAGGGCTTTCTTTTATTGCTTTTAGTTATATTGTTACACGCTTGTTGCGCCAGGGCCCAAGCGGATATTATTATTTATTATTATGGATAGCTGTATTCAAATAATTCTATACAACATATTGTATACTGTACATTGCGAAAAGTGTACACGACACATGCGTGTGCGTGTGATGTTAAAGGTGGGTCTCAAATATCATAAAGTCCTTGTTCCTCGCTTCCTTCGGGATTTTCCGCTTAGACGCACAATCATGGATCCGCTGAGCGGTTGGCCTCCGAAACCTCGGAGAACAATTCCTTTCCAGTTTGGAGTTGGTATTGATGTGTTTCAGAATAGGTTGATCATATCCACGCTCTACAACATATGTTCTTTTCATCTCTGTTTTGATGATGAGCAATGCCCTGATTGAAGCGGGTGTCTTCATCCATTGAACCAGTCTTGGCGTAACATTTCTTTCTCACATTTTTCCATTTCTCTCATGTGGAGCCTGTGGATACGTTTTGTATCATACAGTATTGTATATAGTTTGAATATCTGTAATCGCATACACGTATGGGTCCAAATCACCCAGGAAAGATGAAACGGCCACATGCTTCGGCTTGGTATCATTTTGGCCTTCCAGAAAGGGACTGTGTCGAATAATCCACACACCCCGCAATAGCCGATCTCGGTGATGATATGCAAAATACCTGCAGGGTACGGTCAGGATACTTCGGAGCTTTCAAGCCTTGAGGTGGAGCATGATGCAACAGAACCGTGGCTAGTTGGCTATATAGTGACACACTTCCGTCAAATCGGCCCAAAGGCCTCCAAATTTAATAGTCAAGCTCCAATTCATTCCTCACATCAACTCGAGGGTAATAAGACCAGCTGCGCTGGTCCGCCGTCATAATGGGCTTCATACCTCTCGAAGATGCCTATATTCACAATGCGCCGAATGGAATCGAGAAAGTGCCAACAGACGTGAATGGCGACTTTAGCTCATTCCAAATCACGCATCTTGCCTCTGAACAAGTCGCCACTCCGACCGGCATGAAGGAAGAGATTGTGCTATTGTCCTGGCTCATGGTGCTGTTGCGCAGCCGGGAAGACAGCCAAATATCATACGACTGGTCCCACAAAGATTTCGCAAATGGTGTTGAGCCCGAGTCGGTGAACAAACTATTGATGAATGAAGTAATGAAAGGATTACAAAGTAATGTGGGAGAAGTTGCGACTGCGATCTCCCGGAATATCAGCACGGCAGCGTCAAGTCCCTCATCGCTCCTTTTGAGCACCAGCTCTCTTTCGCGAACATCGGAAGAAGCCAAAGATGAAGTAAGTGAGCAAATAAGTCTATAGCTACTCAGTCATAGCTAACCGTAATTGAGAAGGGTATAATTCATCTCGAAGTTCGCTTCAATAATGCCCACCTCGAGATCCGCCCATTGTGGCACACCGAGAACATGCTGCCATACACAGTAAATCACCATGTCGAGGCACTTGCCGACACTATCAGAGTATGCCTCACGAATCCCGAAGCGACCATTGAGCAGTGCCTTCGCCCGACTACAAGTGACCTGAACGATATATGGGGGTGGAACCACGAATTGCCCCCCACCTACAGCTTTTGTATGCAAGAGATGGTTGCCGAAAGAGCCCGCGAATACCCAGACAAAGTCGCCATTGATTCCTGGGATGGCAGCCTGACCTATAGCCAAATTGATCAGTGGTCCACTTCCGTGGCGTGCTCGCTCAAAGAAATGGGCGTCGAGCTGCACGATGTTCTCCCTGTGTGCTTCGAGAAGTCCAGGTGGACAATCGTGGCTGTGCTCGGAGTAATGAAAGCAGGCGCAACCCTTGCGCTCATGGATCCAACCCTGCCGCTTGCCCGTCTTCAGAACATGGCAGTACAGGTCGGCGCAAAGTCGATGGTTTCGTCCCGCAAGCAGCATGAGCTGTCACTGACCATCATGCCAACTGGAAACCACTTCGTCGTTGAAGAAGATGCTTTCACAAATCCATCAAACTCCCCATCAATCTCCGTCTTACCCACCGTACCATCCTCCGCTCTTATGTACATCATCTTCACCTCTGGCAGCACGGGCACTCCGAAGGGAGTGAAGATTTCTCATGAAACCTACACGAGTAGCGCAATTCCTCGAGCAAAAGCAGTTGGATACACGCCGGAGTCCAGGGTTCTTGATTTTGCATCCTACGCTTTCGATGTCAGCATCGACAGTATGCTCTTAACACTCGGAAATGGTGGATGTCTTTGCATTCCATCCGACGAGGACCGACTGAATGATATCAACGAAGTTATCCGCAAAATGCGAATCAACTATGCTGGTCTGACCCCCTCAGTGGGCCGAATTCTGGACGCGGATGTCATCGCATCGCTCAGCGGCCTCGGTCTCGGAGGTGAAGCAGTCTCGGCAAGAGACGCCAACAACTGGGGCAAAGAAACCAGGATTATCATTGGATATGGCCCCTGCGAATGCACTATTGGATGCACAGTCAACGGCAGCGCTGCTACTGGCAGAGACTACCTCTCCATTGGCCCAGGCAACGGCGCAGCCATGTGGATTGCCAACCCGAATGATCACAACGAGCTTGTGCCAGTCGGCTCTGTAGGCGAGCTGCTCGTTGAGGGTCCGATTGTCGGACAGGGCTACCTGAATGACCCCGAGAAGACTGCTGCTGCTTTCATTAATGATCCACCTTGGTTGGTCGCAGGCCACAAAAACTACGCTGGTCGTCGGGGCCGTCTGTACAAGACTGGAGATCTTGGAAGATACGATCCTGACGGTCTTGGTGGTATCGTTTTCGTTGGACGAAAGGATACTCAAGTCAAGTTACGCGGACAGCGTGTCGAATTGGGCGAAATTGAAAGTCAGCTAAAGGCTGTTCTGCCTTCCGAAGCCAATGTCATTGCCGAGGTGATTAACCCTAAGGATTATGGAGGCCAGGCAATGCTCGTCGCGTTCGTTGCCTTCCAGCCAAAGGGACACGGACAGGCCGAGCTTGCCTTGGACGAGATCTCAAGCGAGTTGAACAGCATATTGACAAAGGCCAATGCGGACGTGGCGAAAACTTTGCCGCGATACATGGTGCCGACCACATATATTCCGGTTAATCTTATGCCAGTGTTGATTTCAGGCAAGACTGATCGCAAACAACTCCGAGCGTTTGGTGCGACAGTTGATTTGCGTCAGCTGGACCAAGGAGCCGCAAGCACCGCTTCTCGGGAACTGAATGAGCTTGAAAAACGCCTGCGACAGGCCTGGGCCGAGACACTCAAACTCGATGCAGAAGCTATTCGTCCCGATGACAACTTCTTTGCGCTGGGTGGTGACTCCTTGGCAGCCATGAGACTCGTGTCTGTCTGCAGAGCGCAAGATCTCGATCTTTCTGTTATTAGCACTTTCGGAAACCCTACCCTCTCGGCGATGGCCACCATCGTTCAGCCTTGCACCTCTCAAGTACAGGAAGAGATCCCGGCATTTTCTTTGATCTCCCAATCGGTGGAGAGCGCCCGCCTCGAAGCAGCACAAGCTTGTGGAGTGGATCAAGAAAACGTGCAAGATATCTACCTCTGCACACCCACACAGGAGTCATTGTTCACCTTCTCACTCAAATCGACCAAGGCGTATATTGCTCAGAGAGTCGCATGTATTCCGTCGGATATCAGCCTGGATGCTTGGAAGAAGGCTTGGGAAGATGTCGTTGCAGCAAGCCCTATCCTGCGATCTCGTCTGGCACCGCTCCAGGACCCAGGCCTTCAGCAGATTGTTGTGAAGGAAGACGTCTCCTGGAGATACTCAACCGACCTAGACCAATATCTCGAGAATGACCGAAGTGAGAAGATGAACCTTGGACAAAGTCTGGCTCGATACGGCCTTGTCAGCAATGCAAATGATGACAAGCGGTATATGGTCTGGACTGTCCACCACGTTCTCTACGACGGATGGTCAGAGCCAATTGTTCTCAAGCAAGTCAGCGATGCCTTGCAGAACCAGTCCGTGGAGATCCAGACACAGATGCGGAACTTTGTCAAGTACGTACGCGATACAGACGAGGCCGCCATGCATGACTTCTGGCGACGGGAGTTGAAGGGCGCTGTCGGGCCTCAGTTCCCCCGTCTGCCCTCTCGCGACTTCATGCCAACTCCCAATGGCTTGATCGAGCATCAGATTTCCCTCGAGACAGGTGCTGGATCACCTTTCACGATGGCTACATTGATCCGCGGTGCATGGGCTCTCGTCGCATCCCAATACACCGGAAGCGACGATGTCGTGTTTGGTGAGACACTCACTGGTCGTGATATCTCGCTGCCGGGCGTGGAAAGCATCGTCGGACCACTGATCGCAACAATCCCCATCCGCATCCAGGTCCGCCGATCCAGCTCAGTGGAATCGTACTTGCAGATGGTACAGCACACCATCTTGGCTCGTACACCCTACCAGCATATGGGTATGCAGAATATCAGAAAGGTCAGCCAAGATGCGCAGTACGCATGTGAAGCTGGCACCGGTCTGGTCATCCAGCCCGACCCCGAGTACGTGGGTAGCGAGCTTGGATTTAAGCTTGGAGATGTCGTCCGTGAGGCGCTTCATTTCAACCCATACCCGCTCATGGTGGCCTTTGGAATCCGCAAGGGTGGTCTCAGAGTTTGCGCCAGTTTCGACAGCAGCCTGATCGAGGGTTCACAGATGCAGCGGATCCTTGCGCAGTTGGATACCGCTTGCGTGCAGTTGTCTAAGGGTCTTGACAAGCGCATTGATGAGATATCTTGCCTCCCCGAGACAGAAGTGGACCAAATCTGGCAATGGAACCAGGCTCCTCCTCTTTCCGTAGACGAAACCTCTGGCAACCTTCGCGCCCATGCGAGCACCAAGCAAGGATCAGTCTATCCTCGTGTTGTGATTCCTTGGGTGTGTGATGCTCGCAACCCGGACTTGTTGTCGCCCATCGGCAGCGTTGGTGAGCTCTGGCTTGAGGGCGCTTGCCTCTCTGGGGAAACAGTCGAGTCCCCTGCCTGGCTCGTGGCCGGAAGCTCTGGATGTGCTGGACGATCAGGAAAGGTGCAGCCTACAGGTGACATGGTTCAGCTTCAGGGTGATGGAAGCCTGGTCTTTGTTGGCCGCAAGGAGAATGTCGTACCCCTTCAAGGCCATGCAGTGGATATTGCAGACCTTGAATTACATTTCGAAAAACACCTGCCATCAGCAACTCGCGCCGCTGCATCTGTGTTCCAGCCATTGAGAGAAGGCACCCAGAAAGTGACTGAGCAAGAGCTTGCTGTTTTCATCGAGAGCCAGCCTTCTCAGGAAGACAGTGTAAGAGTCATGCCGGCGAGATACGAGATGGTTGGTGAGGAAACGACAATCTGCGACACTATTTCCGTTACACTTGCCGTGTCATTGAAGAAGCTTGATAAATTCATCCGAGACTCACTGCCATCCTACATGGCCCCCTCTGCGTACGTTGTGGTTGATAAGTTGCCCGCTGGATTAGAGCAATTCGACCACGCGTCCCTCAACAAACTGGCCTCGAAGATTCCTCAAAGCGTCCTCGAACAGCTCCGTGGAGGCTTCAAAGAGGCATGGACAAAGGGCTTGGCGCAGACAAAGTTATCACCCCCAGAGAAGATCCTGCAATCCGCTTGGGCAAACATCCTCCGGTTGAGCCCGGAGCAGATTGACGTCGACGATAACTTCTTCCGCCTTGGAGGTGACTCTGTCTTGGCAATGAAATTGGTGTCAAGTCTCCGCACGCAGGGACACAGCTTGTCAGTGGCTGATATCTTCCAACACATGCGTCTTGGCGATGCAGCCAAGGTGTTGAAGGTGGACCAAGTGAAGGAAAAGGCTACGCCATACAAGCCTTTCTCTGCGCTGAGCAATCTGGATGTCAAGCTGTTCTTGTCCTCAACTGTCCGGCCCAAGCTTGCCAACCCAGGCTGGCCCATCGAGGATGTGTCTCCTATCACAGATTCCCAAGCGCTCGACATCAGAGGAACCATTGGAGCGCCACGCACTTCCATCCAATACACCATGCTGTACTTCGACCAAAACATCAATCGCGAGCAATTGCTACGCGCCTGCAATGACCTGGTCAAGACCCACGATATTCTGCGCACTGTCTTCATCGAGCATGAATCGTCCTTCCTTCAAGTTGTCCTCCAAGACGCACATGCCCCCGTGGTCATGCACCAGGCTGACAAGGAGATTGAGCAATACGTCACCGAGCTCTGCACAGCAGACATCGAGTCAAACTTCGAGCTCGGATCGCCATTCCTCAAGATCTTCCATGTCCAAGGCACCGAGGGAAAGCATTGTCTCGTGCTGGGTCTTTCACACGCCCAGTATGATGGTGTTTCCCTCCCCAGACTGCTCCAAGACTTGGAGACCCTGTATGCCGGAGGCAAGGTTGTGGACTTTGAGCCATTCGCCTCGTACATGGCCCGAGTTTCCGATGGACGCCTGCAAACTCAGGCAGTCAACTACTGGGGCGATCTGCTCAAGGACTCGACACTGTCTGTGCTCTACGGAGCCTCGGCCCAGCCCACTGACAAAGCCATCTTCCACGAGAGGGCGGTCGAAGAATTCCAGCCTGTCCCAGAGATCACGACGGCAAACGTGCTCACCGCAGCGTGGGCACTGGTACTCGCTCGTCGTCTAGGCAAACCCGATGTAACATTCGGCACGGTGACCTCAGGCCGAACGATCGACCTAGCAAACGTGGAGAACGTCATGGGTCCATGCTACCAGCTCACCCCTGTCAGGGTGAAGTTCGAGTCTCAGTGGACGGCGATGGATCTGTTGCGCTTTGTGCAGAAGCAGAGCGCCGAGTCTGCAGCGCACGATTTCCTCGGATTCGAGAAGATCTCGAAGCAGTGCGCGCAGTGGTCACCGGAGGCACGGTCCTTTGACTCGATTGTCCATCACCAGGACTGGGATGATTTCGATGATATGCCATTCGCTGGATCTTCTTGCAAGGTTGATATTTCAAACCCACATGGCGATGCTGCTTATCCCTTGAAGGCTGTCTCGTTTGTGCGTGGTGGGAAGATGCATGTTGGATTTGTTGGAAGTGAAAGGGATGCGACGTTTGTGGATGCTACTCTTGATGAGTTGGCTGCTGCTGTTCAGGAGTTGTCGGGTTGTCGCTCTGAGCCCCTTGTTATCGATGCCTGAGTATGTTATATGAGATATGAAGTTTTTATAAAGCAGATAGATTGAAGATATTGTTTTTGTTATTATTTCTTTCGTAACCTTCCAACATATGTCTTTTCCATAGAAATACATATAAATGACTTGGAAATCTACTTAACTCCTGAATTCACGACTTCATATCTTGTCTTGAATGCAAAAAGATGCCAACCATTTCTACTCTCTGTACAAGCCAAATTCATAGGATCGCATTATAACATGGGCAAAAATAAATAAATAAATGGTATATTAAACTAGTACTAAAATGTAAATCGAATCTATAGTTTTTTTTCTTCAAGTCGCCACTGTCTGGTGCATGACATTTGCCCGGTAGCTGTCAGACCGCTGGAGCAATTCGTCATGAGATCCAGAATCAGTGCATACACCACCATCAATCAAGAAAATGATATCGGCTTTCCGGATAGTGTGAAGACGATGAGCAATAGCAATGACAGTGATTCCCCGTGCGGCCTTCTCCAGACCATCCTGCAAGAGCTTCTCAGATTCAGCGTCCAAAGCACTAGTCGATTCATCAAGAATGAGAAGCTTGGGTTTGCGAACGAGAGCACGAGCGATGGACAATCTCTGCTTCTGGCCTCCAGAGAACTGGTTACCACTCGGTCCACAGAGAGTCTGGTAACCATCCGGCAATGACATGATAACATCATGGATGTTTGCAAGCTTGCAAGCCTCTTGGATTTCTTCCAGGGTCACGTTGTGGCCAGGGCGAGCACCAAGACCAACATTGAACTCAATGGTTCCCTCGAAAAGGACGCTGTCTTGGGGTACCAAGGATATCCAGTCACGGAAGGAGACATCCGAGGTCTTGGTCACGTCGACACCGTCGATCACGATAGAGCCAGATTCGGGTGTGTACAGGCGTTCGACCAGGGAGATGATGGTTGATTTACCAGCACCACTGGGTCCAACTAGAGCACAGAACTTGCCGGGGCGAATATCAATATTCAATCCCTTCAGCACCTTCATATCCGGACGAGCAGGGTAGCAGAAGTGGACATCGCGGAGCTGCACACTCGAGGCCGTGCTGCCAGAGTTGTAGGTGGGTTTCTCTTGAATTGCCTCAACATCCTTGTTGTCGGGTGGTGTGAGCCGGGCATTCATTCCGTCCTTGCCGATCTCGATCAGGCCAAGAATTCTGGACATTGCCGATCGCGCAGCAGAAAGCTCGGGTGCGAGTGCGAACATCTGACTCCAAAGCAGGGCACTGACCAGGAGAGAGAAGACAACAATCAGGAATTGGGTCTGAGTGTAGTTGCCGTTGATAATTTGCTTAGAACCCCACCAGTATGCCAGTGCATTCACCATGTTACCTAGGAAGTAGGTCATGGCTTGCCACAAACTTGCCTGCACAGTAACCATGAATGTCTCCTTGCGAGGTCCTTTCAGGGATCGTCGGTAAGTTCGAAGGGTGTTTTCTTCAAGAGAAAGTGAAGCGATTGTTTTGATAGAGGTAACTGCTTCCACGCCGATGTCGACAGACTTGGTGTAGGCGTTTTCATGACGCTCCTCGAATTTGCCGAGAACCATCAATTCCATTAGACCAGCTCCGAGTAGAAGGGGGACAAGTGCTAGGCAGACCAAGGCAATTCTCCAGGCAATAATGTGGGTCAAAATAATGGCGGCGACGAGATTAACGGAGATAGAGAAAAGAGTACCAATGACAGATCCGCTCATACCAGCAAGGGCATTACCGTCTCTGGTGATATAAGACAGAAGGAGGGCAGGTGATCGGCCCTTAGACTGATGCCACTGGAGATCTTGCTCAAACAGTGATCGGAATGACAAGACTCGCACTTTGTAGACAATCTTCTCAGAGACGAGGCCAAATCCTCCCCAGCTGACGATGTTTGCAAAGAACTCGATGATCGCAAGAACGAAGAACATCAGACCGTAGAAGTTACCCCGGTCTCTAATACTGTCTGGACTATGGCAAGGGTTCAAACTGCCGACTGTGTTTCCGAAAATGACGGCTTCACCAGAGAAGGCTCCGCCGACCATGCTGGAACCGAAAAGGGCAGCGAAAATGACGAGCAAATGGGGCTTGAGAGCTGGTGCATAGCCCCTGCAAAGAGCCCACAACGATTTGACAGGGGTCTCAAGCTCTTCCTCTTCTTCCTCAGAGTCACCGGCTGGTGCTTCAGTGGTTGAGACACGGGTCTCCTTTGTAGGTTCAATGTAATTTGAAAGACTGCCTTTCTCGTTTTCGACGTCGGTAATAGAGGTAGCGTCGGACTTGCTGACGCTCTCAATGCTGGCAGTGGTCTCAGTCTTGCTGGATGCGGATGCGGCTCCGAGAGTCTGCAATTTGACCAGCTCAGAGTAAGGTCCATTTCCAGCCATCAACTCCGCGTGACTTCCCTCCTCCAAGATATCTCCCTTGTGCATACAGACAATCTTATCCGCATTTGTGATTGTTGACAGGCGATGAGCAATCGTGATGACAGTGCGACCGGTTGAAATGTTGTTGATAGCCCGTTGAATACGCTGTTCACTGCGTGAGTCCAGAGCAGCTGTGGCTTCATCCAAAATGAGAACTGCGGGATCCTTGACAAGGGCTCGGGCAAGAGAGACTCGTTGCTTTTGACCACCACTGATGAGTCGACCACTAGAGCCAACCAACGTGGCGTACCCATACTGCAATGCTTCGATGAAGCCATCCGCATCGGCAAGCGCAGCAGCATGACGGGCCAATTGAACGATTTCGACGATTTCTGGGCCCCGTCTCTCTGCTGCCACCATAAGATCCTGACCATCCCTGACTTCAGCGGCGAGATCACTGAGGTCGGTTCCAAGGAGTGCCGTTTTCAAGTGTGCATGGGCTGGTTTGCTTGAGTTCATCAAACCGTGTGCGATGTTCTCCAAAAGGGAGCGGTCGAGAAGGGAAGGCTCCTGCTGCACAAGACTGAGGAATCCTCTCAGGTCACGGGTGTTGATATCACGGATATTCTGGCCATCGAAAGTGATTTCACCTTCAGTGGCATCATATAAGCGGATAACCAAACCTGCAATGGTGGACTTCCCACTTCCAGAAAGGCCAACAATAGCCGTATGCTTCTTGGGAGCAATGGAGAGATTGATCTTGTTAAGAACAGTGATCTCGGGCCTGGAGGGGTAAATGAAAGAGACATCCTTGAATTCAAATCCACCCTCCGCCTGGGTGATGCGAATGCCCGCATCAGAGTGTCCATCAATCAATGATTCACGCTCGATATCAGCACGCAGCTTGTGGTAGCAAGCAACAGCCTGCGTAAACAAGTGGATGAAAGGGGCAACTTGACTCAGAAGCAGGGTAGCTGTTGTTAATGTTAGTAAAATATTCTACAGTAAGATATCAATCAAACTGACCTTCAACCAAGACAAAGATAACAGTGAAAACAGATCCGACAGTGGCCCCCGCCGACTCAGTGCGCACTGCTGCGGCGATCTGCTTACTTCCTTGCCAGAATGCAAGACCATTCGCACCATATGCGACGAAATACAAAACACCGGCTTGAATACCAGTGGCGTTGGCTTTTTTCAATCCTTCGGTTTCCGAGTCCTTCAGTGCCTTGGAGAACTTCTCCTCCAGACGATCGTTCGCACCAAAGGCGTGCACCACAACAATGTTGTTGAGCGCTTCGGAAGCAATTGACGCAGCGGAAGCAGCATAATCTGACATGCGCCCGGTGTATTTCTCAATATAATAACTTCCAACAAATGACATGATGAAGTATGCGGGGATCAAGGAAAGCAGCATCGCGGCAAGAATGGAGTCTTTGATGAATGCAACGATGTATGCGGTGACGAAAAAGGAAAAACTCGAGATACAGATTCCGACCTTCTCAGCTGTACCGGAGCGAATTGTTTGGATATCGGTGTTGAGTCGGGAGGCAACTTCTCCGGCGGGCAGGTTATCAAAGAATGAGGGTTCTTGTCGGAGCAGGTTCTGGAGATATCTTTCGCGGAGTCGCTGCGCCAGGCGCGCACCGGTCATCGTCCAGCATAGCAGATGAAGGTAGATTAAAACGAATTGAGCAATGCCAAGGTACACAATCAACACAATTTTGCTGTTCATGTCTGACTGATCGGTGGAGTCCCCTGAGTCAGTTGACTGCTCACAGCTCACAGCGTTGAAATCATCGATCAGTTGGCCGAATATGATACCAATGATGGGGAAAGGGACACCCGATCCAATTGCAGACACCAGGCCAACAAAGAGGGTTCCCAATTCTAGTCGTGAGGGATTGGCAGCCACGAGCAGCCTCGGATAGTCTGCAAGGTTGCCGAAACCCATGGTGACTTGGAAATGGCGTTCAACACTGGGATTGTCGTTGGAGTGTTGAAGAAGCTAAGTTCTCGCAAGCGATCAATTTATCGCTTTGTTAGTTTGCCAGTGGCGTCACCATAAAAATTGCACCCACTCCTTAGCGTGAATCCATTCGGTGAAGCGAGTATTAGCTGTGGGTTGCGACGAAGACCCAAAGAAAGATGTATGCCAAGTGTGAAGATGGATATTTCCAGGGGGTTTCCGGATGTTTAACATGCCGAGCTAAATTTTCAATCAGCCGACATCGGTTTTGACAGTTGGATCCGAAGATGCAACCCACTAGGGGACGGCATGAAGAATTTCAATTATACGGAGGGGGTTATCAGATCAAAGTGGATCCTGTGTACCGAAGTTCCGTACTACCGTCCATACGTGTATGTTCGGGTGGATGTATCTGTATTGTGTATGTTAATTCAAAGGGTATTTTAACATCTATAGAAGATACGTGTATTTTAAAATGTGGAAATTTTAAGCGCTTCGGAGTTTCAATGCTGTTTGCTGGCTGTGGTGGATACATAGTATGATAGGAGATTACGGAAAGTCTTAATGAATTGTCTCCAAAGTCTCCCAGAGCTAGTAGGTATGTACGTCCTACATTATGTATTGATTAGTATTTTGCTTTGATCTTTTGTAGCACTATGTAATATTGGTTGATACCTTGCATATTAAATGTGCGAAAAGAATATAAGAATCCTATTATTACATACACCATACAAAAACAACAAAGCCAAGTGGGTCCCGTGACAACATGCAATTCCTTTTTAACAAAACACCGAAAGATTATCTGATTGATTGGGGCAAAGCGGAGTAGACAACGCGTTACTGCCCCAACAAGGAAGCTCACGGTGGAGCAACACGAGCTACCCCCCCCCCACTTGTCTCGGGATGATGACGGCAAATGAAAAAAAAAGGACCTCGGGAATATGTCATGAAATTTTGTACATTGTATATTGTAAGTTTTGCCAGTCCAAGTCAATGAGTAGAGAAGAAAGGTCAAGCAAATTTACAGCTTGGCATTCCACGCGGCGCGATCAGCAGATTCCAAAGGCCGCTCGCGCCCGTCCCAGAATATAGGACACAACTGGAACCACTTTTCGCGACTGCAAATTGAGTGCACCGATCGCTTATGTCCAAGATCGACGTACTTGCCAATTGTGAGTCCCTGCGCGTTCTCGTAAGACAAAATGGTCCCGCCAGTGGCTTTGGGCTCGCCGACAGCATTAGCGGTCCGGGGATCGTCCAAAAAGACATAGTGGATGCAGCTCGAGTACCAAGCATTCACGCGGTGTGCACCTCGGAAGCTGGCATCGCCGACGAGAGAGTGACGACCGCGATCATAGTCTCCAGCATCGTAGTGGGCGCCGTAGTGGTCCTCCTGTAGACAATGTGTTAGTATTAATGCTTAGCTAAAGAGCGATGAAGTCCGGGGATTTACCTTTGACCAGTACAACTCATAGTACGAGAAGCGGGTGTCATCGAAGCGTCCGAATAAGCACAATACGTGGGGATCAAAGTGCAGTTTGCGCAGATACTCGGTGTGCTGTTCGATAGTTCCAGTCTCGTTCCAGCCTGCGGCAACACGCGGGTCGTTTTGCCACTTGTTAAACAGCTGGACGTGCTCCGCACTTTCCCAGTCAACGACTTCGAGTGAGAAGTGCTCGTTGATCTCTGGGATGTAACGACTGTAGGCAATGGATCCGGGGTGCGGCTTGGGGCGGCGAGTTGGGTGGCGGGTATATACAGGCTCCTCGGGGAACTTGTTTGTGACTTGATAATTCTCCGGCATGATGGGATACTGGGACAAAGGCTCCCGCATGGGGCCGTCTGTGCCATCTCCCACCACCCAAATGGGACGAGGGCCCATTGGAGAAGCAGCACCTTGCCAGAAGGCGCTTCGGAGGATCAGCAAATCATCGAATTGCAGAGCCTTGTTTTCTCTGTCGCGCAGGTTCCTCGGGTGCTTGATTGCCAACCCGGTGGTAAGAAGCTCATTTTGGATTACTTCTTGCCCCGCGCCGGACAGAGTCAGTCTGAAATATTCGATTGTTGGGTGGCCGAGATAAATGGCGTGAATCACGTTCCAAATTTGGCCCAAAGAAGGGGCGCTGTTCCCTGACCATTCGAAGACAGTCTGGGGACTGCGACGCGCGCGACCCCAGGGAGTGTTATCTGAAATAGGTGGCTGTTCAATCTTGGGAATAAATGTCAAGTCAAACCATGAAAGCGAGTCTGAGTGTAGCTGTTCAGGCAAAGGCCGGCCCTTTGCGGGCTGCTCATCAAGTGTCAAGTTGCGCTTAGCTGGTGTTGATCCAGCAATGGTGTTCACACGATATGCGGTCAGATAAGGGTGTGGTAACTTGACCAAAGGATACTGGTGTGATTTTGAGGCCATTGTCGTAGATTTCTCGATCGTCAAGGGTAGGGTCAAGAATTTCGAAGGAATTGGAGTTTTGGGGTCAGAAAAAAAAAAGAGAGCTCCCCGCCCTGCGCAATCAGATTATATGTAGGTCACATCCCGAAAAGGCTAAGGATTATCAATCTAGGAGATAGTAACCGAGGCCGAATCTTTTTCTCATCTGTAACAGGTCCCAAAGCAAAATTTTTGTTTCAAAGAGAATACATGAACGGGAATTGATCGCCCTATGGGGCTGTTATTTTCAAATGTTTATAACTGTACTCCGTACTCCATACAATATTATTATGTACGGAGAAAATACCGATATCGCGTTAGTAAACTTCCGAGGTTCCGTGGAAGCTTTCTGCGACCGAGCTCCTCTACAAATGACAATACATAATCCGTAGCCCGGCCCAAGAGAAAATATAAAATCGAAGCCTAAAGTTGAATTAGTCACAATACTGTGCATATTCTACACACATCATGTCTTTACGATCAGGTCCCTTGAACCATGAGAATTTCTATATCTCTTTCCCACATGAGCGGGTTGTCCAGGTCACAATCAATAGACCGGACAAACTAAATTGCATCGACAAAGCTACAAGTCGAGAGATTGCCAAAATCTGGGAGCTGTTTGATGAAGATGAAAGCTTATGGGTCGCCATAATCACCGGTGTTGGGCGAGCCTTCTGTACAGGGGCTGATCTAGGAGGTGGGGTTTCTTCTTCTCTCAAAATATCGAGTACAAAGACTGACTGAAGTGAAAAGAATGGAACGCAATGAACAAGGCCGGTGTCGTCAATGACATGTCCGCCCCAGGCTTGGCCGGATTGCCTCGCCGGACCGGCAAGAAACCGATCATCGCCGCCGTAAACGGCATTTGCATGGGCGGAGGGTTCGAGATGGTGGCAAATTGCGATCTTATCTTAGCCTCGTCCTCCGCCATTTTCTCCCTTCCGGAAGTGAAGCGAGGGATCGTGCCAGTGGCCGGATGCTTGCCGCGATTGACCCGCACTATTGGGCTACAACGCACCATGGACCTCGTGCTGACTGGCAGGAACGTGAGCGCCACAACACTACATGACTGGGGTCTGATCAGTCAAGTGGTGGATACACCGGCCGATGTTGTCCGAGCAGCAGTCGAAGTTGCCGAAGTCATGTGCAAAAACAGCCCCGATTCCCTTATTGTTGGCCGTCTGGGTGTTCGAATGAGTTGGGAAGCTGGCAGTGTGGAAGATACTGTATCAGATCTGGCGGGTCAGTGGTATCCCCGGTTGGTTGGGGGTGCTAACTTTGCCGAAGGTATCCAGGCATTTGTGGATAAACGGTCACCAAGCTGGAAGAATTCGAAGCTGTGAAGGAGAAAAAGAACTCCACTCACACTACTCCGTAATCAGATTGGGTGGCGCAATTAGTTTCCACTATTTTACGGCCGTGCCATGGTTAGTAGTGGAGCATGTACTTATCTGATTAACTGTAACGCGAAGTAATTAATATTTTCTTGTTTATTTTGTGTATTTTGTTGCCATGTTTGGGTACAAAATCGAATGCACATTAGAAGCGCTCTGAATTAGAGGAAGAGGTGTGCATCAAATATATGATACAATTAACTATATCTTTTCACCTGAAGTCCGCCACTAATGTGACATTCCAAACAATCTTAGAATCTCTATTGTGCGTTTCATCGAAATCCGTATAATACCTACATATATAAATACATATATTACATACCGCTAGTATAGACTTCCTATATTGGCCGGAGGAATCCGCATGGATCTCGACGTAGCGCGTTTAGCAGCCTTTAGTGATGGCCCCAACGCTCAAACCCATTGACCCAATCTCATTCATAGTACTCCGTACATAGGTACATACTTTTTCTTATTTCTTTTTCCGGCTTTTGTCGTGGTGCGAGAATTCCATTATCAGTGCCAAGCTATGCCAAGCTCGTTTTCCATATTAATTACCTCAACGGGAAACCTTTACGAGCGCATTGAAGCTAGAAGAGGTTTCGTCCCCGATTGACATTGCGTTCGCTGCGTTTCTCCGGTATGAAACCCAACATCCAGGGAATCTGATTAGATTCTACCTTCGGAATGTCCCATTCTAGTCGACGCCTCAAGTGGGGTGACCACACATGGCCTGTGCAAAGAAGCCCTATGGAGGAGGGAAAAAAATCTCGGTTACTTGATTATCCAGCGAATGAACGCTGAGACATCGCCAAGGCCTTTCCTACTGGTTCATTTTTCACAGTGTGGCGTGCGTTAGTCTTCCAAGAGTGTACCAAGCTGCCGAGTTCGGGGTTTTTTTTTACAGCGCTGGATCTGGAGCGCTAATAACCAGAGACTATATTTGTTATAAGGGCAAGGGTTTCCCGGGGGCTCTGTTGTTTTTTTTTTTTGGATACATCCAATCTACTTTTTATTTCCAGCCCGACGACATGGGCACTTCCAGATTCCGATCAGCCTTCCGGCGGTCATCGACCCAGGAGTCTGTTACTCAAGTCGCTATGGCCACTGATAGCGAAAAAAAGAGTGAACTGCCCACCGAAGCTGTTGCCGTAGCCAATGCGGACAACCCTGAAGTTCCCACCGAAGCTGCACAGCAGGGTGTCAAAGATGTCGAGGCTATGACTTTGAGCTGGACGAAGACCATGCTAATTGCTGTCTTTGCAAAGTAAGCTCTTATCTTTTTACCTCGACGGGCGATCGGTCCGCGCAAACCAACTTGTTTACTAACGTAAATATTCAATAGCATCTGGTTCTTGTACTTCGTCAATGCTATGCAATCCACGATTAACTACAGTTTGCTCAGCTATGTCACCAGTGACTTCGAGAGCCACTCTCTACTGAATGTCATCTACATTGTCGCAGACGCCATGACGGCCTCAGTGTATATCCCCACTGCCAAGGTTATGGATGTTTGGGGCCGTGCAGAAGGTTTCCTGGTCATGACCGTTTTTGCTACTCTCGGTCTGGTCCTTATGGCTGTGTGCCACAATCTTCCCACCTTCTGTGCTGCCTACGTCTTCTACAGCATTGGATTCGGAGGTATGACATACTGCGTGGATGTTATCACTGCCGATATTTCCAAGCTCAAGAATCGAGGTTTGGCTTTCGCTTTCACCTCCTCGCCATACATCATCACAGCGTTCGCTGGCCCCAAGGCTGCTGAGGGCTTCTACGAAGATATCAGCTGGCGGTGGGCCTTCGGCGCATTCTCCATCATCTTCCCCATTGTTGCCTCCCCTCTTTACTTCATCTTGAAGAGCAACCTTAAGAAGGCCCATCAGAACGGCCTTGCAGTCAAGGAGCCTAGCAGCCGGACCTTCCTCCAAAGCGTTTGGTTCTATACCAAGGAGTTCGATTGTGAGTGAAAAGCTCTCCGAAGGATTAGACATTGTGAAATACTAACCTGCATAGTGTTTGGTGTTTTGTTGTTCTCTATCGGCCTTACAGTCTTCCTTCTCCCATTCAGCATTTCGACTTATGCCCCTGACGGCTGGGCATCAGGCTACATCATTGCCATGATCGTGCTCGGATTTGTTATGCTTGGCATCTTCCTCGCTTGGGAGTTCCGCTTTGCTCCCACACCGATGTTCAACTTCAGTCTGTTGACTGATCGAACTATCATTGGTGCATGCTTGCTCGACGCGACATACCAGCTCTCTTACTACTGCTGGAACAACTACTATACATCCTTTTTGCAGGTAGTCAACAACCTCAGCATCTCTGAGGCCGGATACGTTAGTAACACTTTCGACGTGGTCTCCGGTTTCCTTTTGCTCGGAGTCGGCTTCATCATTCGCAGGACTGGTCGCTTCAAGTGGACTCTCTACATTGCGGTCCCGCTGTACATCTTTGCCCAGGGATTGATGATTCACTTCCGCCGTCCCAACCAATCTGTCGGCTATCTTGTCATGTGTCAGATTTTCATCTCTATTGGTGGATCTGTCTTCATCATTGTCCAGCAGCTTGCTATCTTGGCTGCTGCCGATCACCAACACGTCGCAAGTGTCCTTGCTCTGCTGAACGTAGTGGGTACTGTCGGTAATGCTGCCGGTTCTACCATTTGCGCCGCAATCTGGACCAACACATTCCACAAAGCCCTTGAGAGGAGGCTTCCACAGTCTGCGATGGGAGATATCGAATTGATTTACGAGAGTCTCGACCAGCAGCTGGAGTATCCAGTCGGATCCGCCGCGAGACTGGCTATCCAGGAATCGTACGCATATTCTCAGACAAGAATGCTTGCTGTTGGCACTGGTCTCATGGGTCTGTGCATCTTCTGGACCATCATGATCCGGGACATCGACCTCAGGAAGGTTGCTCAGGTCAAAGGTGTCGTCTTCTAAGGTGTTTGCCTTCGCCTTTGGGAAAACTTTTGACAACGATACTGTTGATGATCCATTTCCTATTATATCCAAAACACGATTAGCTGCCTCCAGGCAGTTATCGAACAGCCTTACTCTTTGTACCTTATTATTTAATTATATTCACATGACGATCTGGATTCAGAACGTTATGACTATCCCAACCAATGTTCTATTGTAATTTGTAGAGCCCTGTTGGCAACGAGCTTTGAGTCATATTAATAATATGAGCCTCCCAAGGCTATATATGGCTGGACAGCGAGCTTATTATGCCAAGCATCCAACTTCCACATCAAACGTTTATAATCCGTACATACTCTTGAGTTTGTACGCCAAGAACAGGAGCACCGAGTTTTCAGCGACCGGCAGCTCGCTCGCTGTGTGTTTCCGTTTACCGGGAGAACAGCTGTATGGTACGTAATAACTGTAATATTGTATGAAATACTTTGAGTAAATTACTGTAATATACCACTTGTATGAAGGTAATCTATGTATGAAACAGATATGTACTACAGTACTCTGTCTCCATAAATAAATTATAAGGGAAGCAATACATACATGTACACATCTCCTACATTTGCAGTTTACAAAGCCCGGTGTCATTCGAACCCGCCAGATCCACGTAAGA